TTCAACGACTGCGGTTGAAACTTATGGTGATGGATAGATGGTGAAACCCAATTTAGATTTCTTACCATAATCGACTGACAATCTTTCCAATAAGAGTGATCCCAATCCTGATCCGGTACCTCCTCCGACTGAGTGGAAGACCAAGAAACCTTAGAGACCTGTGCAGTTATCAGCTAACTTTCTGATTCTGTCTAAGCACAAATCGACGATTTCCTTTCCGATGGTGTAGTGACCTCTGGCGAAGTTGTTGGCAGCATCTTCCTTTCCTGAAATCAATTATTCTGGGTGGAATAATTATCTGTATGTTCCTGTTCTGACTTCATCAATAACTGTTGGTTCCAAATCCAAAAAGACAGCTCTTGGGACGTGCTTTCCTGCACCAGTTTCTGAGAAAAAGGTGTTGAAGGCATCATCTCCTCCTCCGATAGTCTTGTCTGATGGCATTTGACCATCTGGCTGGATTCCGTGTTCAAGACAGAACAATTCCCAACAGGCATTACCGACTTAAATACCTCCTTATCCGACGTGAATAGAAATAACTTCTCTCATTTTTAAAGTGCTATTGATGAAAACTCTCTAAAAAAATTATTTGAATTTCAGCAGTTACCCAAAATTTGAATATCAAAAATATCTTCAACCGGGGTGCTTTATATTTGAAATATTTTCTTTTATAAGTAATAATAATTATTATAAATACACTATAAATATGAATCTCCAAAAACTCAAACTTGTTTTGATTATATCACCTCTGTTTTAATAAATAGGGGTAATATTTTGTAGTAATTAGAAGATCAATGAATTAAATTAGAATTGTTATTTAATGATTTAACATTTTATTCATCCCTATTGTAATTTAACAATTTAATATTCAAAAAAAATCTTAAGAAATTCTCAAAATAATTTATCATTCAAAAATAATATTGAGTATTGTAATTTTTTTCTATTAAAATGAATTGCATTTCCTTAAATTACAGACTCTTAATATCTAAAACAGTAGAATTATTTTTAGAAAAACAAAATTGTACAAATATGTCAGATATTATGAAGATAAATGAAAATATAATTGTATCATAAATTTGATTGCTTATTATAATATTATTAAAATTTTTAAAATACTTACCTATAGAAAAAAATGACTATATTAAAAGATATATAAAAGATTAAAATAAGTTAGATTTAATTATTAAAATAGTATAGAATTGAGAGATAAAGAATTAAAAACCTATTTGAGGACATTAGATGAATATTGTAAATCAAATTATCCACTTGATCTTTAACAATTTGTTAAGGAAGATAAGGTTGAGTAAAATCTATTAAAAATATATGTTTTCAAAATTAGATGATATAAGAAATAATTGAAGAAGATCAATAATTTATATATCTATGATATATACTAACAATAATCAATCAATCTCTGCCATTTCTTTAGAAAGCTCTTTATAATGCTTTAAGGTTGTTTTTAACTTTAGGTTCGATTTTTCTAGTTCAACTATTTAAGCTTTTAGCTTTCTAATTAGTTCTTCATAATCAATCATGGACTATTTCTAGGATTCAATCACTTAAATCAATTTTACAATTTCCCCCTCCTTGGTTTTTACTTCGGCTATTAACACAGTAATTCTTTCTTCTAATTGAATAATCAAAACTTTCTATTCTCCGTTTAGATGGCTTGATTCTTAAAACCTTTTTTACAATTACTAAAGTTCTGATTACAAAGTGTTGTTTTAGCTTTCTAAATCATTTATTTTTTCTATGTTGGCATTTAGTTATATTGTTAAGGATTAATTTTTGGCAATATGTTCTGTTTTTTCTGATTCTGATTATGCCATTTTAGCCAATAGGTCAGTAATTTCATTTTTTTGTATTTCACTCAAAGATTTGAATTCGGACATACCTTTTTCATGTGTTATGATAAGAAGTTCTAATTCTTATATCTTTGTTAAATGCAAATTAATAGTAACTTAATGGGTTTCTTCCAATTTTAACAGTTGACTTTTGAGTTCATCAATAATTCTATTTTTCTCTTAAACTTATGTGGAGTTTGTTCTTTCTTCTTCAAATTAAATTTAAATTAATTTATATTATTCTGATACGTTATTATGATCATTAAGTAATTATGTAAATCTTTATTTTAATGAGTCTAATTCATTAACTATTAATTTATGAGTTTCACTCAATTAAATGTGTTCTTAATTGATATTTGTGCATTTAAGTTTGAAATCCTCCAATTCAATAATTAATAATTTATTTTGATTACTTAATTATTAATGTTCGCTAATAAGTTTTTATAGTTATTATTATAATGTTTAGGTTTCATTTTAAGTGCTAAGTAGTTGATCTTGATGGAGTTTATATTCCTATTAAATCTTATGTAATTATGATTCACTGTTTTCAAATTATTGTGTTAAATTTTAGTTTCTATCCTTCATCAATAAATCAGCTTCCTTTAGAGCAACTATTAATAAATCTCTTTCTGATAAAAGTTTCACATACTCAGAAATTTCATTATCCTTTTCTATAATTAGCTATTTTAATTTTTCATTTATTGATAATGCTTGATTTAATTAATCTGAAACTGAATTATGTAAAATTTATAAATCAGATAACTACTTATGAAGCTCTTAGGTAATTTATGATTGTTAAGAATTCTTCAAATTCAACTCTTCAGCTAATTGAAACCTTTCTTTTTTGGCATCCTCAAGTTCTGCTAATCGTAAATCATACCTTTACTGAAGCAATTGTAATTGCTCTGCCTACTAGATTATTACTAATTCATGATTTTATAACTTCTTTTTGATTTCTACATTCTCAGATGAAAACTTTTCATATTCCCTTTTAGCAGCTTCTGTTTATATTAATCTCACTTCTAAATTTCCAATGATCCTAAGTTTATCTTAATTCAATTGTTGTAATGCAATATACTCTTTATTTAGTTGATTTACTTGTAGTTCTAATTAAAATATCTTATATCTATCTTATTCCAATTGTAAAGCCAATTCTTACTCAGATTATCTGGATTATAAGGATATATTTATTTAATAGTTCTTTTCACCTTAAGATGCTGTCATCGAATTATCAGATTATTAGCTAGATAGTGTTTTATAATCGGCAATTTATTATTGAAGTTCTTAATTTTATGAGATTTAAGCATTCAATTAAGTGTAGATCTCTTAATTTGATTTTTGTAAATTGTTGATTATATTTTAATTGTCTTCTTAAATTTTATCTGAATATTTCTTTTATTCCTGCAATGCTTAAATTTCTAAATCTTTCATAGTTATTTTCTTTCTTAATTAATCATTATCTTCTAAAATTTGTTAATCTACATCTTTATTAATTATTTATAATGGTTAATTTTGTAGTTCTTTTACTTGCAATTACAATTCTGTGACAAGTTTGTGTTTTGTCATTAAAAGCTCTTCTATTTGTACAATGTATTTTTTTAAAGTCTCTTTTTCTTCATCAACTTATGGTTATTAAGCAATTTACACTGTTTTTCTTCTTAAATTCTGAAACTCATTAGATTGAGTCACAGAATAGATTAGCATTTCCTCATTTTGTTCATTTTATTGTTAGGTATTTTAATCCTTATGAAATTCTGCCTTAATTTAATGTGTTTCCTTATTCTTTTCCAAAGGCCGAGATACAATTACGCTTTATGTCATTACATGGGAATGTGATAAAAAGATAATTAGTTTTGTTTGTACATAGTGTTTCTCAATCATACCTGATGTAATCCCTTTCATAATTTATCCCTCTATTTCATCAAATTATTGATTGAATTATTTGATTTCATCAATTGATGTATAGAAGGCTGAAGCCAAACATTTCAAAAAGTTATCATAACCCAATGTGGGGCTCAAGAACATTTAATTTAAAAAGAAAAAACTAGTTTACAAAAGAAAGAAGTTAATTCCAAATGGTTATAAGTATCTTGATATTTTATTTCTCATGAAAGGCTTAACAAGTGTCACTTCATTTTGTTTAAGCTTAAAAGCCTGTTCCAAAACTTGAGCAATCTTTTCTGTTTCGCTAAGATAATCATAAGGTGTCTATTTTAATTATGATGGATAAGTATTGAATGGGATTATATCTGAGTAAAGCACTGTTAACAATACATATGCTGATGCTTCCGAGGAAAAACAGAGCAAAAAGAGTGTGATTAAGATCTAATCGGCACTATACCCGATATCTGGATATTTGATTAATAGGGAGCCTAACACCTTGCTGATTTTTTAAGTCAATAATTCGTGTTCGTTATCTTTAATTATATATGTAATGAATTCTCTAAGGGAAAAGTTGAGATTCAACCATAGTTCAATCATGACTGAATTCAGCTCTGACTTCATTTTCTAATAATCAATATTCTCTTTTGCAGGACTTTATTCTTTTTGTGCTTTTTCGTATTCCTGTTATACTAATATATCTATACTTGATTTGCATGTTCTACTGTCAAACCTGAGGCTTGTAGCCATTGAATGGCAACAGTGTTGGTTCCAAAGACAATCTTTTATTGCTCAATGAACTTTTTAATCCAATCGCTTTCATCTTTACAAGAATTACAAATTCTCCTTGGTCTTTTGCTTGGACCTGTCTCTGTAATGTAGATGATTTTATGTTCTGAACATTATTTGCAAACAGCTCTTCGACATCTAAAATATTATGATTTCATGGAACCTTTTGCACTAATGCTCAGGCTTCAACAACCCAAATTCCTTTTGACACAACTAGCATCTCTTGAATTTTCCTCGTGCTTCAGAGATTAGAACCGTCTTAATATGTGCTTGGGCTAGCGATTTTCTTTGAGACATTATTAAAGATTTAAATTAGGGTTAAGCTTAACTTATCAAATCTGAATTTGTGTGTTTCAGAGTAATTCATTTATAATTAATCACTATATATAATTACTAATCTATAAATAATCATTTCTTCAGAAATAATAATAATGAAAACTTTATTTTTTTCAATTTTTTCGGAACAATTATATAAAAATAATTAATATATTTTTAAATCTTTAATTTAAAATGGTCAAGATGAACGTTCTAAATGATTGCCTTCGTTCAATAGTGAATGCTGAGAGGTAAACTTTATTGTTTTATTAGAAAAGATAAGGAAGAAAGTAAGTGTTAATTAGACCAACATCCAAATTAGTTGTGAAATTCTTATAAGTCATGTAGAGACACGGATATATTGGAGAGTTTGAAATTGTCGACGATCACAGAAGTGGCAAAATTGTAGTAGAATTATTGGGTATCAATTGTTAAATATGCAAGGACGCATTAATAAATGTGGAGTCATTTCACCTCGCTATGATGTTACTCTCGGTGAATTCGAGAGATGGGCTAACAATATTTTACCAGCCAGACAATTTGGATGCGTCGTCTTAACTACTAATGTTGGCATTCTTACTCACGAGGAAGCTAGATAAAGACATATTGGAGGTAAAATCCTTGGTTTCTTCTATTGAGTTTAATACAAAGTACATTCATACACATACAATATAAATAACTAAATTATCATTGTATTTATTTTGTTTAACAAAATTGCAAAATCAATTTAACATTTTATATATCGAATAAGTTTAATAATCATTTTAATTGCCCTCCATTAACGCCTGTCAATCTTGTTGAACTACTCTTGACTTTTTTTTTAAATAATTTTTCTTCTTCATCCAATTTTTCATCATCTAATCCTTACGCATAGACCATTTGATCCATATCTGCAATCTCCATTATATCATTGACTTTTTCTTTGAAATATTCATGTTAATAATATAATGTACTTGTTATTTATTGGTCTTAATAGCTCTCCCAATATGCGGTATTGTTTCTTTCTAAACAATTATCCTTTCTTACTTTATACACCATATCATTTCCCTCAATTTGCATTAAAGCGAAGGGGAAAATACTTTTAGAATTGACTTATTGCTGAGGATTCTAAATCTTATAGATGGGGAACGAATCTGATAACACTTAATCAAAAGTCAATTGATATTTTCTAGCTTCCAAATACAAAGTTGCTAGAAATCTGGCTACACTTTCCATTTTCTCATCAGGTGGTTCTTGAGGAATCACAGGTATTTAAGGTATTTAGGGTTGAATAGGTTATTGAACTACTGGAGGTGCAATTACAGGTGGTTTTTCTTCAAATTTGAGTTTATCTATAATGAGATCCTCAATTTGTTTTTCAAATTTGAGAATCTAATCTTCCTTTTTTTGTTTTTCTCTTCTTTATTATTCATTCAAATCTCTCCATTGAATAATTTCCTTAGATATATTATCAAACATCTCATCAGCCCTTTCGACAACATTAATTGAACATCTATCTGAACAATCTCTTACAAAACAGTCTTTAGGCCATAATCTGATTTCTGAATTATTATCTTTTTCTTTCTTGGCTTAATCAAAGAATTCTCTAATGAATTTACAAAAATTGAATCTTCTCTCTATTTCCATAGCCTTTTCTCTTTAAATACTCTAATCTATGAGATTGGAAACAATCAATAGATCTTTTTTCAACAATACTATTTTCTAACCTAAATTTTCCATTTCATTAACCCCTCTTGTATTTTGTGCATTTCCTCTTCTCAATTTCATCGTTCTATCCATCGGTTATGTCCTAGGACGAAATGCTAAATGAGGATTACTATCCTCATAATATGGATGCATTAGGAATCTCGTAAGTGAACGAGAAAAGTGTTATCTTTGCTTTTTAAAATAGTTGTATAATTATTCCTAAAGTGTAATTGTTTGTTAATTTATGGTTCGTGGCAGGGTTGGTTTCAATTTAAGAAATTCACTAAAATCTATTTCTACATCTTTCCCACTTTTAGCATCTAGTAATGCAAGGTATAATTCAAAATCTTCAATAGTAATGAGAATTTGTAGCTTTTCATTGATGGTCTATAGGAAATGTACATCCTCTTCGGTTAATTCATAAGTTGTGGCATCCGGATAAACTGGTACTTTGTATTGAATGTAATCCTCACGACATCTGGAAGGCAATTATGATTTGAGTGTGGGCTCTTCAAATTATTTAGGTCTAAATAATAATGAGTATAATATAAAAATAAATAAGGCAAGTATGGAGGAGCAAGGTAGAGATTTCACATTTCAGAAAGGTGAATTCCTCTATCTTAAACTCCTCTTTTGTAATTAAACAGATGTATGCAATTTACTTTTCTTTCATGAGTTAATCAGGAGTAATGATTTATTCCGTGTTTTTGATTTCGGGCTCTTGTCCTTCAGCATTGTTGAATGCTTCTAAAGTGCTTATAGTGAGCACTGGCTTTGATGCATCTATTTGTCTTGGTCTTTATTTCATTTTTCTGAGCTACTGCCAATCGATTAATAATTAAAGAAACTTGAATAATATAGGAAGATACTATCCCAAGCAAAAAGAAAACATTACAAATCAAACAAATAACACAAGAAAACCCTTCTTTTTATAATATTACTACTCCTATAAACTCTGTACCATAACTCTATCTTTCTTAATTAATTGGCACTCAGAATTTCATGCCCTCATCCTTATATCTCTCTCTTCTTTACCAAATTCTGCTAACTCGACAATCTCTACAAGTTTTGATTATAATTATTAATGAACTAAATTGAAATTGTAGATAAATTAGATGATCCTATTGTAAATTGAATAACTTCATAGATTAAGATGGCTTCAACATAATTTCTTTGTTGTAATAACATTACTAAACTTAAAATCGAAACTCACTCATAAAAATCAATTTGAATCAACATTATAATAGACTACTCTTAAACATTTTAAAGATGATGGGAAGTAGATCCTAGCATTGATAATGATCTTTATCTCAATGTTTAGCATTGCTTATTATTCAAACTACCCTCATTAAAAATGAAGTGTGTAATACAAAACCAATAACCTAAACCATCATAGTAAGCTTGAAATTTTGTATATTAATTCAAGTAGATAGTTCGAATTCCTCATTATTAACTTGAAGCCATAAGCAATTTTAACTGTTATAATTAAGCTGAGAATCCTAAATCAACTCAAGAATAAGGAGAAACTGCTGACGTTGAATTTCATCTCTTGATTTCAGGTTTTTAGAATATTCTAATTTAATTGTTGATATATAAAACATATTAAATCATATGAATCTCAAATTCAAGTATGAAATAGTTTTGGAGAAAGAAATAATACATTTACATATTTTTAGATATTTTTTGAATATTAACCTTATGATACTTTAATTATGAATTTATAATTATTACATTTAACATTATGAAGTTGATTTTTATAAAGATAATGAGAAATATATCTTAAGGAGGAGTCGGATTGTTATTCAAAATTTTGTAATTAAAATTCTTATAGAAATACATAAATATTCAATAATCATCTTAATTTCTGATTATAAAACACAATTTTCAAAAACGAATGTGTATAACAAATTAAATTTTTTTTGGTTTATTCTTTGTCTATTTCATATATACATATTAATCTAAATAATGCTTGGATAGTGAATACGGTGAATTGTAGATTAAAAATCTTATAAGGAACTAGATCATAGGTAATTATTAGAATAAGACTTCTTAAAATTTTGAGTAGTTGAGCCCATTAGGAACATGAGATATTGAGAATAAGTAGAAAATGACTCTTTGGAGGGATCAAATGAGATTGGAATCAAGAGGAATCATGAAAGGAGAATGATATAGAAAGAAAGTGAAAGATACTTGTTTATATAGGTTTAATTATAAGATTGGATGATGAATATAATTATGATGAAGATGATTGAATTTATTTTATTTTATGGGGGAGAAAAGAATTGACAAATATCTATTTAATCCTAAGGATATAATTGGAGAGGGTTCATATGCCTAAGTGTACAGAGGAAGAGATGAAAAGACAGGAGTAAAGGTAGCTATAAAAGTGTTAAACAAATCTGTTATAAATGCGTATTTTAGATTGATAGATATTTAGAGATGATTATTTAAGAGAAGGTTTGATCTCGGAGATAAAAGTGATGTAGAAACTGAAGAGTCCAAACATAGTATCATTAATGGACGTGATGGAAACCAATAATAATTATTATATAATTCAGGAATATTGTGATAGTGGAGATCTGGATAAATTGATTGAGAAGTATGTAAAAATGTAATATAATCAGTTATGTGGCATAAAAGAAAACAATGCCTGAGAAAGATGCAGTCAAATTTATGATTGATATTTTGAATGGATTCATTTAACTAATTAAAAATGGAATTATTCATAGAGATTTGAAACCAGCCAACATATTAATAGATAAAGGAGTACATAAAAAATTTCAATCATATTCTAGACTTTCAAATTAGCAGATTTTGGATTTGCAAAATGTGTCGATAATTTTAAAAAGGATATGCTAGCATCTTTAGTAGGAACACCACTCTATATGTCACCACAAATCTTGGATAATAAAAAATACACTTCCAAGACTGATATTTGGAGCATAGCTTTCATCTTTTATGAAGCATTATTTGGTAAAAGTAAATATTCTCTATTTTATCATTTATTAGCTCCTTGGACTGCTAGATCCCCTTAAGAACTTCTAAAAAATATTAGAAGTCAACCTTTGTCATTTAAAGGACCTTAAATCTCTAAAGAAGCCTAGGAATTTTTAACAGGATGCTTGCAGGCAGAGGAAAAAGATAGATTGTCTTGGGACGAAATCTATCGACATCCTTTATTTAAAGGACACTTTACAGATTTTATTAAGAATGTCAGCATTTTGGAAGATAAAGCTACCTATTTGATCAATGATATAAGATAAATGATTATTAAAGAATAGATTGATATTGGAGAACTATTTGCAGAACTAGATATGACCAAGGATAAAGCATTAAATGTCAATGAGTTAGGAAAATTCTTATAGAGAGTAGATAAAAATCTGACCAGAGAAGAGATTGAGTATATTTTCAATAAATTTGATGATGATGGTAATAATCTAATAGAGTTTAATGAATTCAAAAAGTGGTTGGAAGAAAATGATGTAATCTGTTAATTAAAATTAAACATAGTGTAGAATGACAGCATCTGAAGTCAGCAGAACTAAAAAGAAGGTCAGTATTCTTATGAAACCACAATAAGATATTCAAGCAGGGTCACTTGATGATAGAGTAAGATCAGTAATTGAAAAACTCAAAATATCAATTGTCAAATATAATATTAATCTTTTGGATTTGTTTAATAAGGTAATTACTCAAATAATTTTAGTATGATAAATCGGCTAATCATGAATTAGATGTGTCAGAATTAGGAAAACTATTAAAGAAAATTGATCAAACTGTGACAGATGAAGAAGCTAAAGCCATCTTTACCTTTTTTGATCACAATAAAGATGGATCTGTTTCATTTAATGAATTCGAGTTTGTATTGAAAGAATGCTTAGTTAAATAAAAAATCAAGTAATGACAATGATACATCTACAAATTGTTAAAAATGTTATAAGATCTTTATATCACACAACTCCTATCAAAGAATTGTAAATCTTCATAAAGATAATAATTGCTTTATTCAATGGATTAATAACATATGGTCTTAATCCTCTCGCTAATGTAAATCAACCAATTGTTTTTCTTCCTTTAGTTTGTATTCTTTATCATTTTCTGCCATTTTCAAATGGTGTTCATATGATGTCCTTGATATCCCTTCCTCTCCTAAGAAGTTCTTTATCAAAATATCCAAATCTAAAATACCTTATTTACATAATTTCACAGAATGATTTCTTCTCTACCTCTGTTATCAAAGGAGCATAAATCTAAAATTCCCTCAATAAACAAATTGGAGATAAAATAGAGAATACTATACATAATTTTGGAAAACTGAAATAAACATTTAAAAAGTATGACAAAATGACAGAATAACCTATTAAATAGCCTATATATGTATGTAGATAATAAGGCAAGTGATCCTGATAAGGAATCTTTAATGATAAATAACCTGTTGTTANCAGAGGAAAAAGATAGATTGTCTTGGGACGAAATCTATCGACATCCTTTATTTAAAGGACACTTTACAGATTTTATTAAGAATGTCAGCATTTTGGAAGATAAAGCTACCTATTTGATCAATGATATAAGATAAATGATTATTAAAGAATAGATTGATATTGGAGAACTATTTGCAGAACTAGATATGACCAAGGATAAAGCATTAAATGTCAATGAGTTAGGAAAATTCTTATAGAGAGTAGATAAAAATCTGACCAGAGAAGAGATTGAGTATATTTTCAATAAATTTGATGATGATGGTAATAATCTAATAGAGTTTAATGAATTCAAAAAGTGGTTGGAAGAAAATGATGTAATCTGTTAATTAAAATTAAACATAGTGTAGAATGACAGCATCTGAAGTCAGCAGAACTAAAAAGAAGGTCAGTATTCTTATGAAACCACAATAAGATATTCAAGCAGGGTCACTTGATGATAGAGTAAGATCAGTAATTGAAAAACTCAAAATATCAATTGTCAAATATAATATTAATCTTTTGGATTTGTTTAATAAGGTAATTACTCAAATAATTTTAGTATGATAAATCGGCTAATCATGAATTAGATGTGTCAGAATTAGGAAAACTATTAAAGAAAATTGATCAAACTGTGACAGATGAAGAAGCTAAAGCCATCTTTACCTTTTTTGATCACAATAAAGATGGATCTGTTTCATTTAATGAATTCGAGTTTGTATTGAAAGAATGCTTAGTTAAATAAAAAATCAAGTAATGACAATGATACATCTACAAATTGTTAAAAATGTTATAAGATCTTTATATCACACAACTCCTATCAAAGAATTGTAAATCTTCATAAAGATAATAATTGCTTTATTCAATGGATTAATAACATATGGTCTTAATCCTCTCGCTAATGTAAATCAACCAATTGTTTTTCTTCCTTTAGTTTGTATTCTTTATCATTTTCTGCCATTTTCAAATGGTGTTCATATGATGTCCTTGATATCCCTTCCTCTCCTAAGAAGTTCTTTATCAAAATATCCAAATCTAAAATACCTTATTTACATAATTTCACAGAATGATTTCTTCTCTACCTCTGTTATCAAAGGAGCATAAATCTAAAATTCCCTCAATAAACAAATTGGAGATAAAATAGAGAATACTATACATAATTTTGGAAAACTGAAATAAACATTTAAAAAGTATGACAAAATGACAGAATAACCTATTAAATAGCCTATATATGTATGTAGATAATAAGGCAAGTGATCCTGATAAGGAATCTTTAATGATAAATAACCTGTTGTTACCCTGTATATATAGACGGCATAAAGTAAATAATCTAATGTTTGATTATCAACTAGATTAATGTATTTTCTGGTAGAATTATAACCAAGATGTCAAATAATGAAGTTTGAAGCAATAATAAAAAGCTGAAAAGCAATACCTGCAATGTTAATTTCACTTAATAATTAAAGTGGAGAATCCAACATTACTGTCTCTTTTTAAATTGTAGATGAAAAACTGCCTATTTTATTTCACATTTGTCTCATATTAAATTGCTGTTTATGTAATTTTGCCTACATAAACCAATTACCGAATATTGTTTTCAAAGTAGAAGACAAATGATATGATCTATATCAACATTAAGAATAATTTGGGAATTGATATTAGAGACAACAAATATAAGAACAAGTCTATAAAAACAACGATAGCCAATTTTTTGGCAGCAAATTATATTGCTTGCTTTAAATATTTTTAGATTTCAATGCGATATTTGTCCTATTTATCATTAGCATATCTTCTGAGTCCCTTCATGAATTAGATGCTATCAAACAATCCATAGAGGAATAATATCAATTAAGTTTTAATATATTACATAAAATATTAAATAATAAATGAATACAAAACTAGATATTTAGCATTCATTCTCTATTTATACTCAATTAACCATCCACTCTATTCGTTTTGTTGTCATTAAAGTATTCTTTCATATTCAAATTTTATGGAATGAATTTAAAGGTAACCTTAAATAAAATGAATGGCTTAAAATAATTAAATTAATGCACAGTTACGAAAATGTATAAATGAAAATACTTTTCAATTTATAAAAAAATTTCATTTTCTAATATCTTTACATGAAGGCTATGAGATTTATTAAAATTGTAAAGCAGATTGAATTTAATAAAATGTTTGACTATTATTTTATCGAAATATTTATATTAACACATAATAAAAATAATTATCAAATGAGTCATTAGAACGCAAAAAACTTAAGAGATTTACTTATAAAATAATAACTTAATAGTAAAATTAAATTTAAAGGGGAACCTGTTAATAAAATTCAACTAAATATCAAATAATCAGGTAATTGGGATAAAAAAGTAGATATAACCTAATGCTATTGTAATTAAAAGAACTGCAATATTTGTGGAAAGAAACGAGTTGTAATTAATGCTTCACCTTTACTTAAAGTAAAGGTAAGTACAAAAAATCAAGTCTGCGAACCTGATAGTAAAAGAGAGTTCAAAGTCACTAGCTCAGTTTCAGCACATCAATCCCCTAATCGTGAAAAACAATATCAAATGCAATAAACTTTTTTATAAAAACAAATTTAGAGTCATCTGCAACAACTCTAAGAATCACGTCCTTAATCAAGATAAATACCTAAAGACAATAAACCATAATTTTATCAAAACATGGACAATTTTTTAAATAATTACTATCAAAAAAGCAATTTAAGCAGCTCTTAGTTATATTAAAATAGTTTTAGTGTGAAATCAAAGGTAATTCCAAAAAGAATAGAATCCAAAAGTCATGTCCTAAGTAATACTCAAACTTCATTTAAATTGAAATTAAATTAATAAGGTCCCAAATTTTCAGTTGTATCATATTGAATTTAAATTAGATAATCAATTCTGGATTGGTAGAATCAGCTCCAAATTCTCCTAAAAATAATGAAAATTCAAATAAAGGCAAAATGACTCCTAATGATTCAATTACAAAAAGCAATGTGAATTAAAACGAAACTAAATTAAGTGATATCCGACGAAAGTCTACAGGTGAGATTTCAGAAAAAACTTAAGTATTAAGTTAGAAGATAGAAGAACAAGTAAATAGAGTGCATTTTAAATTTCTGTATGTAATTGGAAAAGGGGGATTTGGAAGAGTTTGGAGAGTAGAAATGAAAAGGAATAAAAAATTGTATGCACTTAAAGAAATGTCAAAGGCTAAAGTAATCTAAAAAAGAAGTGTTAATTCGGTTTTAAATGAGAAATACTTATTAGAACATCTACATCATCCTTTTTTAGTTAATATGTGGTATGCATTTTAAGATAGGGAAAATCTGTTTTTGATTATAGATTTATTGACTGGAGGAGATCTTAGATTTCATTTAGGAAAAATGAGAAGATTTAGTGAAGCTCAAACTAGTAAACATTGCTTTTATTATTATAGAATTTTTTGTGGCTTGCATATTGTTGGCATTAACTTATTTACATTAGAATGGGATTATCCATAGAGATTTGAAACCTGAAAACTTGGTATTAGATGAAGATGGATATATGCGATTAACAGACTTAGGCATAGCTAGAATGAATAGAGGAAATAATGCTGGAGATACATCAGGAACACCTGGATACATGGCACCTGAGGTAATGTGTAGAATGGATCATTCAGTTGTGGTTGATTATTATGCACTAGGAGTCATAACATATGAATTGATGCTCGGAAGAAGACCTTACAATGGTAGAACTAGATAAGATATCAGAGAACAAATTCTAGCGAAGTAAGTTCAGGTTAAAAGGGAAGAGTTGCCATTAGGTTGGAGTGAGAGTGCCCTTGATTTTGTAAATTAGGTATATCTTGATTGATTATATTGTTAGCTAATATTGAGAAAGCCAGAAAGAAGACTTGGGAGTAATGGGATTGAAGAGATCTTACATCATTCTTGGTTGAAAGGGTATCCTTGGGATGATTTATTAAAAAAGAAAGTTTAAGCTCTTTATGTTCCAGGGGTATTGAAGTTGATCGAATGTTTAGGCTGTTGATGATAATTTCGATTTTCAGAATTAAATATCAGAAGAGACTTAATTAAATGAAGAACAGTAGATGGAGAATCAGGGACTGTTAAGGAGGGATACTGTGTAATGTATGAAAATTTGTAAGTTGTAGCTTTGTTTGATGGATATAGTTTTGATGTTGAGTTAAAAAACATTTAACATTAGTAAACGTAAAAGAATTAAACTTAAAGGAAATCACAACCTGTTTCTCCAGAGAAAAGAGCATGACATTGAAAATTATTAATAATAAATGATAGTCAACTTTTTTTTAATTTAGATTTCGATATATCATCTAAAAAGTCTTCCTCATAAAGTTTGAGGGACATTTGCTTTTTGAGTGTTTCATATCTTTCATCCAATTCTCCATATTTAAGAAGTAAATCATCGATATAATTATTTTTTTAGTCGATTCCTTGCAGTAGTTCTTCGCATTTCTTTTGCAATAATCGAATGACTTCTTAGTTTTGAACTAGTTTTTCTTATTCATAGAGTTTTGCCTTTAGCAGTTGGATTTCCTATAGGCTTGACTAAGACTCATACCCTTAGGTATTTGTTATGGATCTCTTTGATATCATTTTCAATGCGAGCCTTGAGTGTGTTTTCAAATTGCTTGTTAAAGTCATTAATAATAAGTTAATTATTGGAAGAGAGTTCGTCTAATTCTTTTTTCTTGTCATTATACAACAAGATTAGTTGTTGGTTCTCTGCTTTTAAGGAGGATACCAATTGATTGAGTTGCCTAATTTCTTTATCGTAATTCTCTTTGATAGACAATTAATCTTCCAATTATTATTTAAAATGAATCAAACTGATTTGACAATCAGAAATGAATTGCCTATATAAAAGATGGTGTGAATACTTCATTTCATTGATTTGTAAATATTGATTTTCAATGATTTTGTCTTATTCTTGACATTTGGATTTGAATATTCTCAATTCTTCAAATTGGTTATAGATTTATGGTTGGAGAGTTGGATGAATGCTATTGTGTTTGGAAGTGGAATATTTCTATTCATCCTGAAGGAAGGTGGCTGTGGAATGAGATTGAGTCCGTAATGGAGATTTGCTCATAATTCGTTAAAATGACATGATAATATTAAATTCCAAATTTATCTGGAATATTAAAATAATTGTATTTAAACAAATCATCCTAATGTGAAATATTAATATTTATTTTTAAAAGTTTAGGAATGGATCCAAAGTATGTGTTATAACTTAAACAATTTTAGGAATAAACCCCAACCAAATTAACCTGGTTAACCCAACTAATCAAACTAACCCAACTAATAGGGATAATCAGAAAAAAAGGATGTTTCGACAGCTATTTTGGACAGAAAGAAGGCCCCCAACAGATTGATAGCAGAGGAAGCCCTCTAAGATGACAACACAGTGATTCAATTGTCTTAAGCCAAAATGACTGAGCTGAAATTGTTTAAGGGTGCACCAGTATTATTAAAAGGAAAGAAGAGAAAGGAAACAGTGGCAGTCCCAATTCCAGATAAGTTGGATAATGAAAAGATTAGACTCAATAAAGTCATCAGAAAAAATTTACGCATTAAATTAGGAGACGTTGTGACCATCAAACCATTAGAATAAGTATTATAAAATTCAAAATTTACATAGGTTCCAACCTTAACCAAAGTACATGTGCTTCCCTTTGACGATTCAATCGAAGGAATTAAGGGAGATTTAGCATAAACATACTTGATTCCCTATTTCAAAGATGCTTACAGACCTGTGAAGAAAGGAGATTACTTTATTTGCAGAGGAGGATTCAAGGCAGTCGAATTCAAGATTATTGCAACTGAACCAGGAGAAATTGGTATCGTCGGTCCAACAACTACATTATTTACTGAAGGCGAACCAGTAAAAAGAGAAGACGAAGAGAAATTAGATGAAGTAGGTTATGATGATGTTGGTGGTTGTCGTAAATAAATGGCATAAATCAGAGAAATGATTGAATTGCCATTGAGACACCCCTAATTATTCAAAACACTCGGAGTCAAACCACCAAGAGGAGTGTTATTATATGGACCTCCAGGATCTGGAAAAACATTGATTGCCAGAGCTGTTGCTAATGAAACAGGTGCATTCTTCTTTTTGATTAATGGACCTGAAATTATGAGTAAGATGGCAGGAGAAGCAGAAGGAAATCTCAGAAAGGCATTTGAAGAAGCAGAAAAGAACAGTCCTGCTATTATCTTTATTGATGAAATCGATTCTATTGCACCAAAAAGAGAAAAAGTTAGTGGTGAAGTGGAAAGAAGAGTTGTCTCTTAATTATTGACATTGATGGATGGTTTGAAGGGAAGAGGTCAAGTCATTGTTATTGGTGCTACCAATAGACCCAATTCAATTGATCCAGCATTGAGAAGATTTGGTAGATTTGATAGAGAAATCGATATTGGAGTACCTGATGAAGTGGGTAGAATGGAAATCTTAAGAATCCATACCAAAAATATGAAATTGGCTGAAGATGTAGATCTTGCTGCCATCGCCAAAGATACTCACGGTTTCGTTGGAGCAGATATGGCTGCTCTTTGTACAGAAAGTGCATTATAATGTATCAGAGAAAAGATGGATGTCATTGATTTAGAAGATGAAAAATTAGATGCTGCTGTCTTAGAAGCCATGGCTGTCACATAAGAACACTTCAAATTTGCTATGGGATAAGTTAATCCCTCATCTTTGAGAGAAACCGTAGTTGAAGTACCAAATGTTAAATGGGAAGACATTGGTGGTTTGGAAGAAGTCAAAAAATAATTATAAGAAATGATCTTATTCCCAATTGAGCATCCTGAAAAATTCCACAAATTTGGTATGCAACCATCCAAAGGTGTTCTGTTCTATGGACCACCAGGATGTGGTAAAACATTGTTGGCTAAAGCTGTTGCTAGTGAATGCTCAGCCAATTTCATTTCAATCAAAGGACCTGAACTATTGACTATGTGGTTTGGTGAATCAGAATCTAATGTCAGAGAAGTCTTTGATAAAGCAAGATAAGCATCACCTTGTGTCTTGTTCTTTGATGAATTAGATTCAATTGCTGTCTAAAGAGGTAGCAGTGCCGGTGATGCTGGTGGTGCTGGTGACAGAGTTATCAATCAATTGTTGACTGAAATGGATGGTATCAGTGCTAAAAAGAGTGTCTTCTTTATTGGAGCTACCAATAGACCTGAAATCTTGGATGAAGCCATTATCAGACCTGGTAGATTAGATTAATTGATCTACATTCCTTTACCTGATGAGCCATCCAGACTTAACGTATTTTAAGCCAATCTTAGAAAAACTCCTGTTGCTAACAATGTAGATCTTGCTTATCTAGCTAAAATTACTGATGGATTCTCAGGTGCTGATATCACTGAAATCTGTTAAAGAGCTGCCAAAGCTGCTGTCAGAGATGTATCTATTTATCATTATATATTATAGGCTATTGAAGCAGAAGCTAGACAAAAATAAGCTCTTTAAATGGCTCCAAATAAGGCATCTTAACTCATCAAAGCTGATCCAGTCCCAGATCTGAATCGTAAACACTTTGAAGAAGCTCTTAGACATGCTAGAAAGTCAGTCACAAATATTGTATTTACTTCTTTCTAAACATTTAGGATTTACAAAAATTTGAAGATTTCAGAAAGAAATTTGATCCTTCATTCAACAAAGGAAATAATTAAGGAGGATTTGCTTTCAAATGGCCTGAAGCTGGTGGTTAATAATTTGGAAGAAGTCAACAAAGTAAAATCTAAGAAGAGGATGATCTTTATGGAAATTGATTAGTATATATATATAAGAAAAGTAATCATATAATTAGATATCTCCTTTTAAATAATAAGTTAATAATGCATTACGTTTAAATGTCTAAAATAATTCATTTCTTTACAGGTCCCTTCTTTTTTGCTATATTCATAATTACTCATTCTAATACCATCTTTCTTTGACTATTCTTCATACTTCTTTTGATGATCTAATGCTTATTATTTCAATTATTCAATTGCCAAACGTAATGCAGTTATCTGTGCTTACTTCAATCTATCTGCTTCCTCTAATTAAGCCAATTAAGTTAAATATGGTTTCAGCATTTCCTTAGCTTCATACTCTGATTGATCCATTCTGTTTTATAAAAATATTTTAAAAAATATAATGATATAATTAACAAAATGAAAACAACAATTAATGATCATCAATGTATAGGATTTAGCATAATATCTCTATTCTTGTAAAGTTTGCATTAATGCCAATAAATTATCTATAATTACAGTCCCTCGCAACTTCTTTGTAAGTTTATTTAATTCTCATATAATTGTCATACTTTAATGCAACATATAATCATTCGCATTTAAAGTTTACAACGGAATTTGGTTAAGTTCCAATTTCAATAGTCTTAAAAATTTGATTCAGTCATTCTCCCTCGTTCTGATAATCTAGAATTGTCTTGAACAGCAATCTCAAATTTTTGCATAATTTCTTATGTCTCTTTCTGTTCAAAGGACCAACCATCAAAAAGAGTAGAATTTATAACATCCATATAAACTAATTTATATTTTATTAGAATGTAAAGAAAATCATAAGGAAGATGGAGTTTAAAACAAATTATTATGTTAATGCAATAACAATATATATCATTCATCTAGCAAATTATTAAATTCCTAATCTGAAAGCACCTTATCCTTTGATTTTGCTCTTAGTAAATCTATTTCAACTAACTTCTTTTTCTCTTTTTATTTAGCCTCCTCTATTTATTATAACACTTTATCAAGTTCCTTTTGTCTTGCTTAATACTGATTTTTGGTAATTGTCCCTGTTCTCCCTTTTGATGATTCAATATCATCGACTGGATTGTATGGTGTATCAACTTTTGGTTGAAAATCAATCGAATACCTATATCCAATATAAAAACTTGCTCCTGCAAATCCAATCAACAACAATATTTCAAATAATATTGCCATACGTGTTTATGAAAATAATAATAATAATAAAATAATCAAAATAGTTGACACTAATTATATAGAAAAAGTGTTTGTTATTCTTAATCTAATAAAGTATAGTCTACCACATTAACATAGCAATGTGATGAATATAGCATCCTCTCCTATTTTTTAATAATTGATTTAATTATATTAATATATATATTACAGTTAATGAATAAGACAAGGGATTGGAATGTAGTGGATGATGAATTGAATAGAAAATTGAAACATTCGTAAGAGTTGAAATCATCTCTTGATGATTAATCTGCTGAATTATTACTTCAAAATAAGGATCAAAATTAAGGTATGAGAATATTTTATTCAAAATTAGAATATAATAATGACATCAATTACTATAAGGAATTCTGGAGATATTATCTACTAAATGAAATGACTATAAAAAAAGTGAATGAATTGCACACATAAAATTAAAAATTACATGAATTGATAGCTGAAATCGATGTAAGTATTTATAGTAATAACCTAGAAATTGCAACAAGAATTGCATCAAGCTTTGAGTTATCGACAAAAAAAGAAAAACAGACGTACTTCTTAAGAGATAGAGAAATCTTTTATTTGTCCATATGAGAAATGTAATAAGTAGTATGGGAGTGATGTTTCTTTAAATTTACATATCAAATTGAAACACGATGGAGGAAACAAAACAGATAGAGAAAAATTTGCTGTAAAATCTGTTATTTATTGATTTCATCTAGAAAATGATCATTGAAGCACAACAAAACGGAGAAACAATAACTGATTTGAATATCAACATTAAATTTCCTCCAGGATACTTGGATGTACAATTTATTTAATTGTAGTAATTTAAAACTCAATTTTTGTTAAATTAGTAAAATTAGTTAAACTAAGAAAGGTAATCAATCGAACAAGATTGACATAATTGAATTAAATACAATATAATTTTCGTTTTTGCTAATCACCATTTAAATCAGTCAAGTTTCTTTAATACATTTCAAATATGAGACCACTCCATTTTAACTTTTATAAATTAATATTAAAAATTATAATATGAATTTAGGAATTGAGTAAATTATACCTAGTTTGTAGAATAGCATTGTGAATCACACTTAATCAATTATTTTAGATGATTGTGTATCAGAATTTCAGAAATATTTGGACAAAGTAATTCCAAATTATTTTTAAGACTCCAAAGCAAAGAAAAATTTATTTAAGGACCAAATGACTACTAATGTGATAAGTACACATTTATATTATCGATCATAGGTTCATTGTTAAATTTGACCAACCAGTCAGATTTTTTAAAACCTTATGACAAAGAAATTACTCTTACAACTATGACTAAATTATATAAAATTGTATAAGAAATATCAGAGAATGGAAAAATTGTAGTTTTTATTAATCAAACTATTTTGAATATCGAAAGAGATACAATTCGATAATTGTAGGATTTATAAGATTTATTTTAATTACTACTCTCCTCCAAATCTTGTGGTAAAATGATACTATTAAAATAATTTGATTAATATGTAAGAAAATTACAATAATATACATATTTCTGGGAAAGCCTAATTTTATTAGAAAATTAACAAAGTCCAAAGATCTCAAGGGAATCATTGGCTAAGGAAACAGATCTAGTAAATAAAATTGAGCTTTGGAAGATGATTCTAATTTAAGAACTAAATAAAACTCCATCCTCTAAAGGTACCTCACTAATTTTAGAACAATAAAAAATCATCCAAACCTAATCTCTCCATTAAAAGAATATCCTCAAAGCTTTGTAGTAGTATTGCGGATTGGGACTTTAAAAGAACTAATTATAATCGATTTAATTATTTGAAGAATTAGCCAGATCTGGCAATCCTTTAGCCAATGCCATTTTGGGATAATTAATATTGGAGGGTTAAATATGTGAGCAAAACTATGAGAAGGTAAAAGTACATACCTGACTATTTACATAGGCATATGAATACTTTTTAGAAAGTGCTGACCAAAATTGTCCGATTGGGATCTACTTTATGTCAAAATTAATATTAGTAACCATATTAGGTAAACTATATTAGGAAGGCAAAGTCCAGAATAAAATATTTGGAGAAGCCTAAAAATCTAGTAGTAAATTCAATAATACAAACAATTCTAGGATCGAGGAATGCCAATTCGCAATTTCTATGCTGAAAATAGCATCCGAAGCAGGAAATGTTGAATCAATGATTTATTTAGGAGATCTCTATTCTTAAGGATACAAATTAGATGATTGTATTAAGATAAAATATTCAAAGTCACCTTGGATAGTGATTATTCGACATCTGAGATTTATTTCAAAGAGGCTAGCAAATAAGAAAGTGTAGAAGCAAAGTTTAAATTAGCTAAGCTCTATTAAAAGATGTTTAAAATTTCAATTTATAAAGTATTATTAATTTTCGATGTTTGTTAGAATAGGATACAATTCGTACACTAATTATTATTGGAGGCTAAGAATAATGAGTACTTGCCTGCTTATTATGATATGGCCAAACTGTTAATTGAAGGTATAAAAGATGATTTGCAACCTAATTAAATTATGGCAGAATTAATATTAGAATAAGGAGCAATGAAGGGTAATTCAGACTGTGCAAAACTTATCCTAGAGATCAAATATAACAATTTAATCAATAACAAAATCAGTCTATCAGAGTTCCTACAATTATTGGATTCTTTAGATTAAGTTTAGAATAAAGTTGAAAATTTCACTTTTTATTATAGAGGGAAAATTGCGTAAAATGGGTTGTAAAATGAGAGTAATTCTTAAATTGCCATCTAACTCTTTAAGTATTAAAAATGGATTTTAATTAGTTTAGGATCTAATTTAGGATGCAGTAAGTGTAAATAAGAGTTAAGTTAAGGTACAAAAAAAGAGTTGATCTCAAAGAAAGAAGGAGTAGAACAATAGGAAAAACAGGAGAAATATTAAGCAAGTCTCGGTTTTGTTTAATAGTTTAAATAGACTGATTGGAGATCAAGATTCAGAAAACAAAGCATATTTTCCAACCCATTCAATATCTCATTAATAGACAATGATCAATCAACAATGTAAATTCTACATAATTTGACATATTAGATAAGCTAGAATGACATCCAGTATCATTAAAACAATAGAAATTAATGATGCGGAGAATAAGAGGAAGCGAGTTATATCAGATTATACAGGATTTTCTAAGCAATAACCTTCAGATTAAAGTATATTGCTGTCGAATTTGAAATTGTACCCGAACAATCAGCAATAGTTGAATTCAAACTATTAGATTTAAGAGTAAAAGTCAAGAAAATCATCATTTTATACAAAGAAAGAAAAACCAAAATTTTTAAGGCACTTGTCGTAACATGCAATCCATTCATAATCTTCAAATTTACTAAATTTTTAAAATACATGAGAATAGTTTGTATTTATATAATCTCTTTACAAATTTAAGGAAATTAATACCAATGAAAGATATTACAATTGGTTTTTATTCAAAAAAATGTTTGTAAAATATTAATCAATTTTTCAAAGTGTTAACATTTTTTCTCCTTTCTTGTAAATCCTTTCCTGTGTTTGCTAAGTTTAGAGACCTAAAATCTCATTCATTTCTTCTTCTGACAATCTTACTTTTTAATAAATAGATGTAAATTTATGTTTTTGCTTTTCTGATTTTTTTATAGGATTAGATTTCAATTATTATTTGATGTTAATTTCTTCATATCTTTTCATCTCCAATACTGACTCTCTTTTCCTAGTTGTTATTGCATAAGTCTTAAGATTTGGAGGTTCATCAACAATTTAAATTACTTTATTTTTATCATCAATTACATTCCCTGGCTTTTGAGTCTATTTTTCTTTAGATTCAAAGACCTCCTTTCTTGCTTTATTAATCATAGATTTATTATGATTGACTTCCTTTATTGGCTCTGCTTATTCTATTTTATCTTCTTTTTTTTATTCTTGATTTTGCTTTCTACCTTTTTTTTTAATCTATTTCTAATTATATTAATTAGATTCTTTTTCCTCTTCTTTTATATAACTCTTCAATCTAAGTACATTTTCAATATTAGAAGTAGAACTCTCTTCCACTTATTAAGGACTTGCGATGCTTTACTTTTTTTACTATTTAAATTTGGCTGTGCATTTAAGGTTTTATGGCTCAGATTAAGAACAATAGTGATAGGAACAATTTAGATGATCTTAAGAAGATAAAATAAGTTGAAGGATATTAATATTGTACTTACATAAAACCTAATAGTATTTAACTTTGTCACATTTTAAGCAAACTACTTTTTGTTAATTTTAATAACAACACAAAAATATTTCTTCTTTACATTCTTCACAAAAGCAATGTTGCCTCATCGAATAATTTATAGTTAGTGAATAAATCTTCTTCTATCTCTGCAAATCACTTATTAGAGCAAGTTCTTATTTCAGAAACTCTTAGAGATAGATTCTCAATTATTAGTTCTGATGATGAATAAAAATATCCAAAAATAGATTTTTTAGAGGAAGAATAGAGTATTATTAATATTTGATGTTGATCTCATATCTCCTCATCATTTGTTGATATGAATATGAATTCATAGCCAAGAAACTCCATCCAGTAGTTATTGTTGTTGTTAAACATTCAATTTGATAAACGGATCCAGCTCCTAAAATAATTAAATCACCAGGTTTTTATATGAATCTTTTATAGGGGATATTATGTTTCTTTAGAATTTCTCTTTTCAAGTAATAATTACCTTCTTAATTAATAAAATACTTTTCATTTTAAAACAACTTTTCAATATGTTCTGGATTAATAACAACCCATAAACAATCTCCTGGTCCATGATTTAAATTAAGTAGATTAACTGCTCCAGGTTCTTGCTTTGCACCCTTCCAACTTCCTTGAGTCATGATATTGAGGGAGAGCTAATTGACGTTTTTAATTTTTGTTCTTAAAAAGCTCAAGCCATCCTCTTTCAAAAAACATTAGGGTAAATATTCATATAATTTATTTGCCTCTTCTTCCCAACCCTCAATTTATAGGTCAAATAAGGAAAGTAATTTATGAGCATTATATTGCTTATTTTTGCGAAAGAAATCACTAGCATCTCTGATATAGTCAAGATATTTCGATAAAGTCATTGAAAAAGATGTCTTTTCTATATTGTCTTGGGATGGCTTTAGTTATTGAGTGACCATAATTGATTCTGAGCCATGATTGAGTTTTATATTTTATAATCTAAAGTATCCTCTATTTAATTGGTCCATGACATCTTGCGGAATTTCCCACAAAAAAAGTGGTTGATCGACCCAATCTGATATTGGAAGATGAAATCTGTTGAGAGTGTCTTTAATTTTAGGTGGCTAAGTGTTTTAGTAGGAATCTAAATAGGAGTCTAGTAACTCTTTAAATTTGCATGTATTGACTTGTTCATCAATAGGTTTAGATAAGTTCTCAATGTTAATTTCATCTAAAAGTATTTATTGTTCAGGCGAAGGGGAATAGTGAAGATTAACAAATTCTGCAAATAGGTTCATGTTTTATATATATTAGTTATTTTAAAATAACTTTCATGATGATATTAAAGTAAAAACAATAAAAAATGAATTCATAAATTTAGTCACTTGATCTTCACACCTCAATGTAAAAAGCATTTTCTCTCTTTCATCGAACATAATATTGGCTCTAAGAATACCATCCTTTGTTATTTCGTAAGAGACTTTCTACTACTCTATTTAAGCCATTATTAATTAATAAGTTGAGTATATTAAAATTATAGAGTATTTTAGAGTTTGTTAATCCTTCCATATTGATACAATTGGTTATGCCTATCCACAATAAAAGTGTTCAGCACAATAAGATTATAAATTTATTTTGATTAATTAAGAATATAACAATGAAATAAACGAATCATTTTACAGTTAAGCTGTTATTTAAATATAAAGCGAGGATTTATCTTTCATAGATAGTCATTCACCCTAAAACTTAAATAACTAAACCCTTTTTTTTATTTAGTATGAATAGAACTACATTAATTTTCTTAATATGTTTTTTTCAATTCAAATATAGCCTTTTGCTTACAAGGGAGATGTGAATTTACACCGATTCTGAAAATCTAATTTTAATATATATTATATTAGATTGAAAAATTTAATGAATGATATTAATGAAAAGGAGATCGACTGTTAATTGATAAACTTATCAAACTTAGATGTTCTTAATTGTTTAGAATACATAGCCTTCAATTCTAATTCTACAATAGTATTAGCAATTTAAGAAAACATTATCAATTCTTATTTCTTTAAAAACAATTATCTAAAACGGATTTCTAGTATTAAAGAGTCAAGGAAAGACAATGATAATCTTAAATAACTTGAATACTTAAAAGCTTCAAACTCAATTTTAACAACAAATTAATAAAACATTCTGATTGCTAAACTTAATTGTTTAAATTCAAGAAAATTTTTGTAGAAAATAGGCCACGGCTTATTTGATGGCTGTTAAACGATGTTATTTAATTAAACTTAAAACAACCTATTTATTAGTTGTTTTAATTAAATACATTTTTTCGAAAAGAATATCGAAGGTTGGAAATGCTCTCAAGAAATTGAAGTGGGTTATAGGGATTATGTGATTTCAATGTGTTTAAATTTTTAAGAGGATGAGTTGTAAATTTATGCTGATGATGGCTATAATTGCTCAGCTTATATTTATATTTACCAGAAAAAAACCTAATAATAGGAAATCAATTGGATTTTAATCCAGACAATTAGTTTCGGAAATGGAATAGGAAAATTATGGGGAGGATTTGTAGATCACCTATTCTTTTTTAACGAAGGTGTTCTTGATGTCTATAAAAAATCAGATTAATCTTAAGACTACATATAATATGCTTCTTCTTTGCTTAAGAGTCATTCCTCGATCTTTTGGCAATTTTTGCAAAATAAATTTGTTCTGCTGATTGAAAAAAATAACAGCATTATAGTTATGAAATTAAATTTATAGTAAAAATTAGAGTTCATTAAATCAATCACAATAGACATGTCTGAATTGATTAATAAATTCTCTTATTATTCTGAGATAAACGCTATTTTAACTCAAGATGAAAAGCTTTTAGTTATTTGGAATAAAAAAAAAACTTTAATCATAAAAATGATTAATATTTGAATTTCAGTTTTCATGTCATAATTATATACAAATAATAGTTTCAAGATAAACTTAAAGTTGGATTAAATAAGAAATAAATTTAGAAAGGTGGAATCACATATTTTAATAAACTCTTTATATTAAATTAATAATTTTATTTTTAAAACAACAATAAACTTTTAATTGATCTATTAAATTAATTATTGTATTTATAGAAACATAATAAATTGTTATATCTTTTATCGTCGGATATAAATTACCATATTTATTAAATTGCTTATTGTTATTATACATAACAAAACATTGTAATTATTTTCGATTTTATCTTTAATTATTTCATTATTTATAGTCAATAAATTTGATATCTTTTCTATTTATTTAATTATTGCATTTATACACAAGCAATAAATACATATATATAATATGTATGTCTTTAATTTTTGGATTAAATTCATTATTATTGCATTTACATAAAACTATAAGTTGCACTTTATTTTATAAATTAATCATTGTATTTAACTACTATCAATGAATAGTTGCAATGATATGTAATTTTTATAGAACCCTTATTATTATATAATATCTACATGATGATTATATCTAGATAATTTATTAATCTTTCTTTTTCTAACTTTTACCAAGCATTTTAAATTCCACGTTTTTATTTAAACTTATAAAACCAAATTTAATTTTTTATAATAACTAATGTCTAAAGAATATATTATTAATATTATTTGTTGAAATTCATCAACCATTATTAAATATAGGATCTTTGATTGAACATATCAGATTATTTTACACTATAAGAAATTAGAATATAATATTTATTTAATCTTATGTAATAGATTTTGTTACTCATTCATCACAGCAATATAACGATATCTCCTCATTTTTTGGGGTATGCTTATTTTTCAGAAAATACAAAATATCAATAATAATGATGTCTTACTATATGTCATTACAAAAATCTTTATTTTTCAACAATACTAAATCTTATATTGTTTACGAAATACATTTAAGTATATTTTATCATATTATTATTGATCATTATTTATGCATCAGATCTATATCGCTACTTCCTATAATAAACGAGTCTTTAGTTGATTGTTCTTTTAATTTAAGAAAATTTTTTGGATAGTTTAATTTTCAGTTCTCTCAAAAATTGATTAAGTAGAAAAGTAAAGGTTAATTTTTTAGATTTACTTTATGTATATTGATATGAACTGATAAATCAAATATAAAATAGGACTTTTTATTTAACAAGGTCTGGTAAGGGTAGGAACTTTACTTAATCTCTGTCGTCATAGTTATCTCCAATAAAGTTGCAAAGACAATGAGCATATCTGACAGGAGCAGGGATTTTAATAGAGCCTGTAAAATTATAGAAGAGCCAACATAATTTGAATGTCAAAACTTTGATGTCGTCATCAAGTCCTATGATAAATAAAAAAGTATACCTGCTTAATCTGAATGAATTATTTTATATAAGGAAGGAGTTACAGTTCCTTATCTAGTTACTTGTGAAATTAAATAAAAGTTAGGATTTGACTATTCAACTACTTTAGGATTATCAACACATGTTCCTGGTTAAGGATTATCAGGTCTAGCATTTCCACCAGTATAGAATTTAGCTGAAACTCTTTTATTGCATACAACTAAAGAAATTTTAGTGTCTGTTATTTGTAGTTCTTCCAAGGCTTATTTATATTATGGTAATTCATTTGCAAGAACAACTGCTTATTATCCATCTCCAACCCCGTCTCTATATATTATAACCAACTTTGGAAATATTCCGTTCTATTCTTTGAAGGCCAAAAGTGATGCTTTGAAAACTTGTTAAAGATGCTAACTGAATTCTCCAGAAGTAACAACCTGAGAATAATATCTACTTAAATTTCTATCAACAGTGCTGCAGAAAGCTAATTAATTTTTTCTTCCACTTTTAACAAAGCAATCAGTTCCGCAAATCATAGTAGGCTGATTTTAAAAAGTAGTTGGTAAACTATCAATTGCCCAAGGAGTACCACCAACTTTAGCATTTAGTTGAATTAATATTTTATTAACAATTGACCTTGTATTTTTGGCAAGAGTTTTCTCAACAACCACTTAAGATGCACAACCAAACTTTTGCATTGAAATCTTCTTAGCTGTTTTATACAATCTTGCCTTTTTCTTTTATCCAGGTAGAAGGAATAATAGGAATCCAACTTTGGCTTTATTAGCTTCAGCTTACTTTTAAAAGCCATCAAGAACCCTTTCTAAATCCTCATCTCTATCCTATTCAATAGGGAAAACTTTTGGAGCCATAAATGCTTAAAACTTAAAGTCATTACAAGCTGCTTAAAAGTTTTACATTAAAGAATCCATGGTTTATTATCCAGTTTTTTTGTTGTAGATGATTCCCAAAATAAGTTATTAAGGAGGAGTTGAAAACATTTAAGTTTAAGTTTATCTATCTAGATTTGTTTAAGGACTAGATAGATCTAGTTTTAACCCATTTCCCATTAACATATTTCCTGGGTGGATTCTTCTTGCAGGTACATCCATACTTCCAGGATTAATTTCTACTCCCCACTCTTTGAATATTTATCTCTTAGTTCCTAATTTTTTGTTAACTATTTCAGTGCTGGCTAACTAATTAGCAAATTCTTAAGCCATCTTCATTCTTTAATCAGCTCCTGGCTTTGTTACAACAGCTAAATTTTTCATGGCATTAAAATCCTATGATGATCATAAATTTAATACATTTCTTATTGCATCAGTTAAACCTGTCAACTAGCACAATTAAGGGATTAAATGAATTGTTTTTTCTGTTTTATCTTATTTGCTCCTCACAGTTGCTCTAATCAAAGGTTAATTTCCATCAACTTTCACCTTATATCTTTATTCGTAATATTGAGCAAAGGAAATAGTTTCTCCCTTTTCATTTGTGAAAGTGCTTGCTGGTTTAAGATTAACATCGACAGCCTCAACCTTATAGAACTTCTTATTGTAAGTAGTCATCACAATCTAATCTTGAATGCAAGCTGGATTTCTAGTTTAATTCAATTCTTCTAAGGCAGATCTATATCTAAGCATTTTGAATGCACAATCAATGACTAAAGTTGGATTTTAAGCTCCTCCTTCTCCTGGTCTAAAAATACATTCTACACCTGGCCAAATCTATGGATAAATTGATTCCTTACTTCTAAATTCTGCTCTTTAAATTGCTAGGCTCTGCTTGACCAAAATAGTTTTTATCCTTTGTTACCAACTGAAACCATTTGCATTTAGCTTCTGATGACCTATTTGAAAAGTCTTGAGATAATGATATTTAAGTCAGCTTTGTTCTCAATCTTTCCTACTAGTTTGAGAGTTGCTGTATCTTGATTTGTCTCATTTCCACTCAATGAACCTAAAACTAATCCATTATCAGCTTCTTAGATAAGCTTTGGGGAATAAATATTTTAGTTCAAGCTCATAAATAAGATCAATTAAGTCTAGAGTTAAGGTCTAAATTTCTTTAGTGCCTCACTTACTTTCTCTGGTGAGGAATCTGTAATTTCTAATTTGTATTGATAAACTGGTCTGGATGGGTTCAATCTCATCTCATGGAAGTTAGCTTTGAGTTAAATATTTTGGAACATTTTGTATTATATACATTTATTACTTTGATTGAATCAGTTCATATATTCATTTTATAAAAATGCACCAAAACCTTTAGTGTGAGTAAGATGTTTAGTACAATTTATTATTGAAATTTAATTTAAAAAATTTATAATTAATTCACTTCAAATATTATATATTAACTCTATTATTGCTTGTAAAATATTGTAACTAACATTTGGAATGCCAAATAATGAAAACTGATTTATTGAATTATATGAACATGAGGGGTATAGATGATTATTGTAAATAATAATTTATTTATCAAAAAATGGTTAATTGTTTTATTGAAATCTCTTAAAAATGATATTCAAGATAATTAAAATAAAATCTGCATATTTATCTATTCATATTATTCATAGAGCTTAAAATATTTGAATAGATATAGCCAAAAATCAGAACTCCTTTTAATATAGTTCTGTAAATTAGATAATATATAGAATGAAATTATAAAATAAATTAATTTCTTTAGATGTCAACTTCTAAATCAATAATAGATGAGACTTACATAAATGTTCATTTGAAGGGAGGAAATCTCCATTCTGAACTTCTACACATAGAAGCTTCTTTCAACAAAGGTATTAACATTATTCAATTTAGGATAATTTAAGGGATAATCTATTCCTTTAAGATGCCAATGGTTTAATATTACAAAAGATAAGGATTTTGTAGAAATAGAGGATGTATCAGGATAATTTTATCAACCTTGTATACTAGATATTGATACAAAGTAAAATTCTTCAATATTCTTAAAAGAATTATGGTTTAAGCCATACCAATTTTGGACTTTGATTACAATGGCATGCCTTTAATGGCAGAAACAAATTTTTTACAAGCCGATTCAAAAATTTTCGATTTAGTAGATTAATACATTAAAATTAGGTTAACTAAGCATTCAATGAAGGAGAGATGTAGTTAAATTGCAAATTAGAGAATATTTAAGCACAAGACAATCAATCCTTTAACGATCTTAATTTACCTTTAATATGCACTTTAATTGCAAATGAAAATGGGTTGATATTGAAAACTGATTAAAATAAGACAATTGTGAATATTGACAAATATGAACTAAAGATCATTAAGAAAAATAACAATTAGATTGAGATCTTCAATTAAAATATAAGATTATTAGCAGCTGTAACAAACAACATAGTTCGTGATGCAATTTTTTAATTTAGCAAAACCTTAAAATCAAAAAAGACTCATTTAAGTGACACAGCTTAATTGTATGTTATCCTCTCTGATTAAGAATAAAAGATAGTTTAAAAGGACAATGAGATTTCTTAATTATTAGAATTTAAGCAAAAATTGACAAAGAATCTAAGTGAATTATAATAATAATACAACTTAAATATCAAAAAGATGGAATAAATTGATAAATAATTAGCACAATAAAGTTAAGTAATAATAAATAAGGACAAGGATATACTAAATTTAAAATAATAAATTGATAAATTAGATGGAAAGACACAAATTTATATTTAAGAAATTAAGGTTCTAAAAAGTTAAGTAATTTTATTAGAAAATACTAATAAAAAATACTAGCATGAGATTGAAGAATTAAAAAAGAATTAAAACTAAAATTAAGATGAAATAAGGGAAATGTTCTATAAAGAAAAGTTAGATAGTTTGAAATAGCAAAATGATGTATATATAATAAATATTTAGAGAAATGCATGAAGGAAAATCAATAATGGCAACTTATAAATGATTAATTAATGAAAGAAATAAAAAAGCTTGAAAGCAATTGTACTTTTTACCTTGAAGAGAAAGAATTAATTTAAAATGAATTAAATAGTCTAAAAAAGAAGTATGAAAGCTTATTGTAAGAGATTGAACTCAATTAAAAGAAAGAGAAATCTGAAATTTCTTCAGAAGTAATTATTTAATTCTAGAGTTTTAGAGTGATGTTCAATCAAGCAAGCAATCCGAAATTATTATCTGCTAACCAATTGTGTAGAATAACAATGGATCTTTGGATGAAATAAAAAGATTGAAAACTACAATAAATAATTTGGAAGCAACAATTAAAAAGTAAAGATGTGAAAAATTTTAGTTTGAAATTTGATTATGAATAGGATATGCTGAAAATAACAAATAAACACTTTTTAAAGAGTAATACCTCTCAAGAAATTCAAGTGTTGTAAAAATTAGTATTAATGAAATAATCATATTAGGCTAATTCTTTGGCTGAGAGTTTATCAGATAAGGAATAAGCTTTACAAACTCAGAGAAATATTAATCGAGAACTACTGAATAAAATATCTGAATTCACAAAGTGATTACGGGAATAAATACATTGATTAATATTTATGATATTCATTAATCTTTAGGCGTTAATCCAAAATATTTATTTTACAAATATAAAGGAAGATGCAATTTAAAAGAATTAGAAAACATTTTTTTATCCATTTAACAAAATTTAGATGATGATGGACTAGATTATTATCTGGATGTAGTTGAATGTATCCTTCTAGATTATGAGCTTTCCGTAACTTATTTTTTTAATAAATATCGAGAATTATCTTACATATAATCAGTGCTTTTTTTAATTTCTTTTAAATTGAATTTTTATTATTATTTCAGTGCCTTTTCCTCATCTTCATTCATTTTATTTTTAATTGCAGGCTAAGGTGAAAACAATTTTGATAGCACATTACAAATATATATGTTTTATTTTGGTGATTCATAAGCTGGCATTTCAGATTTTTGTCTTTAATCGAGAGAAATTTTCGTGTTTCTAGGACCTTTTTTAGAATCCTACATAATTTAAAACTCAGTTCTTTATCTTCTATGCTTTTCAGATGTAAATAATTACGTAAGTAATGTACTGTAGTTTATATCGGCTTTTGGTGATTCCAAAGTTAAAGTTAGTTCTCGAATTTTTTTATCAATTTACTATTTTTTGCTGCTAATCTTAGAAACATGCGTTTTATTTCGTACTAATACAGTGGTTTATAGATCTTCATCGGTAAGTAGTTTCGGATTAAGCTGTTCTTTGATTTAGGTTCGTTAAAGGATTGCTTGTTTTTCTGTTTGATCAATAAAGTTCTTTTCATATGCTCTAATTTGTGCTAGAGCCTATTTTAGTTTATCTTCGTTTAAGGAATTTAAACTTTAGGATAAGGGAGGATCATTATATAATACTCTTAAGAAATCTCTCTTGGATACATAATAGACGGTGTTGGATTCAAAAGTTGAGATATAAGTGAATTATCTGCATAAATCAGGTTATTTTAAAATTTCTAATTCTCCAAACATCTCACCTGCACCAACAAATTTTAATGTCATAATTGATTTTGTATCTCTTATGACAAGATTTCCGTACTTCTTTTTCTAATAGAGCATATCTATTTTATCTGAATTCGACAGACTTGGTTTCGAATAGGCAAACCTATCTTTTAAATTTTATAAATCATCTTGAGAATTATTCTCTGCATTTAATGAAGGGATTCTTAAAGTCTTAACTACCTATTGAAATCATTACTTAATCATACTTTAAATTAGCCAGTTTATATAAAGTAAACTTCATTTGAAGGATCCCCTTCTCTAAATATTGGATGATTTAGTCCATATTTGCTTTATTTAATAACATCAAATAAGGATTTGATACTTGCAAATTTCCAATCTCTAAAAATACTCAATCTAGCAAACTCTTCAAAGTACATTTATCTTTGTTGGTTAATCTTATTTTGAATTATTTAGGATTACCACAGTTTTTTTGATAGCCATATAATCTTCAGCTTCTAGGACTGCTAAATGAGTTGGAAGTATGGCTTTGACTGAAGCTGAGCGAGGCTCATTATTTTCAAGTGCTAGTTCTCCAAACGCTTATCCAACTTACAATTAGATTAATTCTTTTTCTTGAATTTCATTTTAAAACATTAATCGTTTATGGATGGATACCTTCCCTTACAAAATGATATAGAAAGTAGTACCAACATCACCTTAAACTTGAATCAAAAAATACCTTCTCGAAATAATGTTTAGCCATAAGAAAGGAATGTATAACTCATTTTTCTTAGGCACCTTTCCCATAATAAAGGACCTTGATCTTTTTCAATTAATTTTTAAAAATAGTCAATATGAATAGTAGCTTTTTTAAGGATTTCAATTTCTGATTGAGTTCTATGATAAGAGGATTTAGTGAGGATGATGCATAGAATACCAAATATTTATTCTTATGATAACGTTTCATAAAGAGATGGGTTTAGTTCCATTTGAAGAATATATTATTTGAGTTTTTTATTCTCTTATTCTTTCAAAGCTTATGTATTTAATGAGTTTTTGCGAATTAATTTATTCATTATTATTTATATAAGCAAGAAATTGGAAAATCTATAATGAAAGGACAACAAACACCAAGTCGTTTTCCAAAAATTAATTAATTTGAGACTCAGTTCTCTCATTTATCATTAAGCAATTTCTAAGAATAAAAACATAATCCATCTATTTGCAAGGGAATGTTAAGCATGATTAATCCTAAACCTCCCTGTGAAAACAAAAAAATAAAGCAATCTAGTATATATTTTAAAGAATAGGCCAATTTGAATAGAAGGCACATTGTTTAAAGAGATGTCCATTAGAAGAGGGCACCAGCTTTGATTTAGATTTGGCAGTGTTTAAAATACGACCCTGTTAAAGGCAATGTGAACATAATCATAAACAATGTCCATATTTTCATTCAGAAGGTGATTTAAGAAGACCAGGCACATATTACAAAGCAGAATTATGTCCATATAAATTAGAATAAAAAGAATGTCCTCATGGTTATAGTTGTTGTAAAGCGCATAATCAATATGAATTGTTATATTAAGAAGACAATTATCGAAAACTATTTTGTCCTTAACCATAAAATTGTTGCTTTGGTATGTATTGTCCTTATGCTCATTTTGAGAAGGACATCAAATGTGAGTTGATCCATCTATATTAGCACGATTAAGACTATTATATGTTTCATTATAAAACTGTTGCTTGTCCCTATTCACTCTTTAATCATAATTTAGTAATCTATAATTTAATTAGGTCAACTTGTGATTATTATCATAATGAGAGTGATAAACGCAGAAGAGTTTAAGATATTAATTATTAGCCTTAATAATGTTCAAGTTGGATGTAAAATAAGTGTTGTTCTAATGAATGTTCATTTTGTCATTCTATCTTTGAACTTTATTTTCATCCTCTTATGTATAAAACCTTTGAATGTACATAGTAAAATTGTTATCGTGCTATCTGCCCTGGATATCATGATGAAAATGATTAAAGGTGAGTGTTTTAATATTATTAAAGATAATTAAATCCATTAGTTAGAAATGGAATTATGAAAATAGTTCCCAAAAATAGATTCGAAGAGAAATAACCAAAAACACAGACTATCAAGTTTCCAAGCATATATTAATGAACTATTTTACAAATTCATATACTCTTTATTATTTAAATAAATTTTATGTCATTCTGTTAAGAGTAATTTTTTATTAATATGTGAAGACCCAAAGTTGACTGTCAATACCTGAAATCCGTAATAAAGAATCTTAACACCAGATTACACATATTAGAAAACACTAATCAGAATTGCGAATTGAAAAATAACGAAGTCATGGAGTAAATTACTGAGGATTTAGTTATCCCAAAACTCAAACTCAACAAAATCCAAATTGGATTTATCGAAAACAATGTTCCTTAAAAGAAAGTCTTAGTGACCTTTGGAAACAAAGAGAATTTCAGAATGGACAATTGTGATCAAGTTGGAGATAGAATAGATTAAAACATTCTTGCTATTAATTAACCCTCTCCTCAAAAAAAAATCATATCATAGTCATTGTTAGTGAGTTAATAACTCCAAATTCTCAAATAAAAGGATAATAAGTTTAACAATATTAACAAATAACCTAAACTCAAATTAGTCAAACAGGATTCCAATCTAATTCATCCCATTTTCTCAAAAAAGAATTCCGATTAATAATCACTAGGGACTAAATTCTATACTCGAAATAATTCAATATAGTCAACTCCTGTTAAATAAATTGCTTATAATTCATCATTAGGAACTACTCCATTAAGAAGAAAGAATTCTTAAAAGAATAGCGATGTATTTATCAATTCATTATAAATTGATGATACGATGCATAATCAAAGCAAGTTTCTTAAATATTTTCAATAAAATTACGGATCTAATAAATAATGTAATACTTTTGATAATGCTACTATAAATTTATAGAGAAGAACTTCTTTAAAATCTTAAAATAAGATCACTCTGGTTGATGCTTAAATTATAAATATTTGATTTTCATATTATTCACATTTTCATATTACTTTATTTGATGACTATTGAATTTTTCGTTTAATAAAGAAAATTAGTAAAAACGATATATTTATTAAAATAATGAAAAGCATAGTAGCTGTAACATTAGTTCTGTGTCTCCTTTCGAATCAAGTTATCTCAAAGAAGCATAACTAAGATGAAGAGCATTCAGCTTTTGAAAAAAGTACAGCATAATATTTAATAAACAGGCCATAAAAAACTAGCTCTCTCTGATGATCCAGCCTATGGAAAATTAGAAGAAATTCAAGACCATCCTCTTGGATCTAAGATTCTTTAAACCATTGCTCTTTAATTAAGAGGAAATGAGTCATTAAGTGCTGTTAGCAAATTATTGAATGATTTGAAAGGTGATCTTGAGGTAAATATGTAATCTATTCTAGGGTAAACAAATTGATGCTGATAATGAAAGAGCTCAAATTGGATCATAATGCAAAAAAGATCTTTAAAATTATAGTCAAAGAATTAGTTTATCAATCAATGAAATCAAGGATGCTGAATTCAAAGCTAAAAGATTGAATGAAGCCATTGCTGTCTACTAAGCTGAAATCAACGAAAAGGCCAGATAAATCAAAGTCTTTTAAGCTAAAGATGATACCTTAAGAGATATTAGAAGATAAGACAACTTAGATTTCTCAACCAGAACAACCTAAATGAAGGAGATGGTACAAGCCTTTGAAGTCATTTTACCAAAACTTCATTAAGTTTGGGATGTAGCTGCAGCTCATAAGGCTGGTTCTTTCATTGAAGAAGAAGCTATCAATGAAGCCTTAGTTCAATTAGCTAAGATTGGAGAAGAAAATCCAATTACTGCTATGGTTGCTTTGACATCCACCTTAGAACCAACTGCAGTTTAGACCTTAATCGAAAAAATGGAAGCCATTAGAGATTCCATCAAGGAAAGTATCTCTGCTGAAGAAGAAGCTGAAGCCAAGAATGCCAGAGTATTATTATTTTATCTATCTTGTTTAGGACACTGACACTATATTGGCTGCTATTTTCAATGCTATTGAAAGTTTAACCAGAGAAAAGGCAAGTGATGAGGAAGCCTTGTAAGAGACTATTAGAAATAGAGATATTCAAGATAAGAGAAGCAGGGATGCTCATGCTGTATCATATTATGTTATCATTAGGAATTCAATGCTGCTAAGAATGGAAACTAATAAAGAAATCAATAATGTTAGGAATACGAATTATAATATTAATAAAACACCATTGAAAGAGATAAATAAATTGCCATCATTAAGGATGTCTAAAACATCATAGCCACCAAAATAGAAGTTGTTACATGCTTTGTTGAGGAAAACAATTTATTTTGATATTAATTATATTACAATAAAACAATATTAGAAAGAATTCCTCTTCATATTATATGTCTAATTCTTCTAACTAAATTTTTTATTGCTATCCACAAATCTATTGACAGTTACTTTGTAGCTGTAAACAAATTTTTTATTAAATTTAATAACCCTCTTGTTATACTGACAATCAAAGTCCACACTGGAATCAAAAGTTAACCATAAATAAACGTTGCAGTTAAACGAATTATTCTTATTAAGCCCTAATTATAATATTATGATTACATTATACAAATATTTACTCAAATTCCAAAAGGGCAATAATAAAAATCTATATACATTAGTGGAGATGATTCTTATAATTGATACAAGAATATTGTAAAATGGTTTTAGGATATAAATAAATATATTCCTAAGAATCAACTTATATATTATCTCTATTATGATCCAAGTGGAACACCTATAAGTATTCACGCAGATTTAAAAATAAATGAATTCACTTATCTTAGCAATAATTTTGTATATCACATCAACAATGATGAATCGTAAAAGTTAATATATTTTGATTATTAGAATCTCATATAAAAAATCTATTACAATCCATCTGACTGCTTTGCCGATTGGAATCAAAATCAATTTATATAGAAAGTCATATAAGAGAAATTTTACAACCTTGTATGTGTAAGTTAATACAATTCTATACAAAAATTTAACCATTAGATACTCATATATATTAAGTAAAATATAAGTGTAAAAGTTGCTTATTATCCATCTTAACCCTTTGCAGAAATTTACAATAATAGTTTTGTACAAGACATCAACAAGCAGAAATCTCATAAAACGCAATGAGCTCAATATGACATAATCATAGAATGGTATCAGTATATAATTGACTGTGAATTCATAAAGATTTATTATAACTATTCTTATGATGTGCAACAAATTTGTCACAATGTATATAATGGCTGTCTTAGTTGGAATAAAGATGTGATTATAGAAACACATGGCTAAAGGTACAATAATCTTTAAGGATAAGGGGATTGTAATGATTGAAGTGAATTCTTGGATTATTGATCTCAAATGAGCAAATTTGAAGATCATATTGATGATAAATATTGCATACCAGTCTAGAATATATTTAGAGCATCTGCCTAAAAAATAGATAGCGTCAAGTATTTAATTGCAAATAAAAGTCAAGCAGGAGTAAATATAATTGAAAATTATTGAGAGTACATGAGATAACCACGATAAGCATTAAGCAATTTTTCCATAAAAGTAGAGTAGGCAATTATAAATTTGATTTGTGCAGCAATCAATTATTAGATTGATTGTACAATGGAGTAGTCTCCACATTAGGACTACTGGTAATAGAGGCAAGGCAAGAATTAGTTTTAAAACTTTGACTAAGATGTGATCACTTTTGTTGAGTAAACCTCCACAATACTTATCATTTTCATTTTAAATATCTGATGTTTCATTCTATTATCTTTGGGAGTTTGGTTCATGCAGTTCTTATGGTTCTTCGCCTTATTCTTATGGTTAATTATTAATGTCAGAATATTAATTCATGGAGATTTATTAATTTATTTTAGATTAATCAAACAAAGTAATGGGAAATGATATTAGGAATTACTAAAATGATGAAGATAGATAGACAATAGAATTGAGAATGTTTAAATTTCTTAAAATAATTATTTTAATCCATAAATAAAATTAAGATTTTAATAAATTATGAGTAAAAAGGACCTTGAAATCACAGTTGGATGTAATATAATATTAATAAATAATAGAAATTAGAAAGGCAATTCCTTAACATTTATTTAAAAAGAATGAGTTAAGATTTTTAGTTTCTGTAGGTTAAGCTGTTAGCTGCACATTATTGCTAACATATTTAGCTTATAATTATATCCCCTTGACTTGGTTGGCTCTACCAATTTGGGTGGCATATGCCTTTTTAACAGGAACTGTGGCCACAGGAATATGTATGATGTTATGTTAAAACTTAGGGGTTCTCGGTCATGAATGTGGACATTTTGCATTCTCAGATATCAGATGGTTGAATGATGCTTTAGGCTTCATATTACATGAAATATTGTTGGTACCTTATTATTCATGGTAACATTCTCATGCTCTTCATCATGCTAAGACCAATCATTTAACTGAAGGTGAAACACATAATCCTGTCATCATTGATTCAAAAATGGGAAAAATATATTAAAAAATGAAAGATATTTTGGGAGTGGAATCTTTTGCTTGCGTTTAGATCTTCAATATTGCAGTTTTGGGTTGGCCTCTTTATCTTTTAGTTGGCGTCACAGGAGGATCAGCAAGAGGATTCACTAGTCATTTCATAGTCCCCAACAAGTTGTTCCCACCCAAAATGCTGGTTAAAGTGACTGCTTCAAATATTGGATTATGTTTAGTTATTTATGGACTTTACAAATGGTATTAAGCAACCTCATTTGCTGAAGTAATGGCTTTGTATATTGGTCCTTATTTGGTAGTCAATATGTGGTTGACTATCATCACTTTCTTATAACACACTGATGCTGATGTTCCTCATTTTGATGAAACCGCCTGGACTTGGTTGAAAGGTATATTACTATATTTATTTAAGGTGCTTTATGTACCATTGATAGAAATTATCCATTGTGGATTGATGCTTTATAATTTGAAATTGGTACAACTCATGTAGTCCATCATGTCTTTTCTGAATTACCTCATTACAATGCAAGAGTATATTATTTAGTTATCATTTACAGGAAGCTAATATCTATGTAAAATAAGTCATTGGAGATTTATATAATCAAGATGCCAAAAAGTTATGGACATCCCTCTATAATTCTGCAAGTCTTGTTGGAGTAGAACACAAAGGAAACGGAGTGTGGAAATTCGCTAAGGCTTGATTATCATTTAGTATATATTGATCGACACATATTAACATCAAATATATTCTTATATTACAAATAATTTAAATCTTTAAATTATGAGCAAAAAGGATAAAGATTATACAGGGTAACTTGTTATTTATTATTCATTTAAGATTTCCAGGTGATTGCAATCAGACTCAACTCAAGGCTTTGGCTGATTTCAGAAATATTGTCAATAGTATGGGATTGAATGAGAAAATCTATGATGATCCATATCTCTTGAGGTTTCTAAGGGCAAGGAAGTTTGATATTACTAAAACTCAAGTTATGTTTAACGATTTCATTAAATGGCGTAAAGAAAACGATGTTGATAACATTATGGTAATATTTAAATAATCTTAGACATATATGTTTGATGAATTACCACAAGTAAGAACTCACTACCCTCATGGTTATCACAAAACAGATAAAATGGTATTCAATTTCTATATCTATTTTAGGGAAGACCAATTTACATTGAAAGGATTGGAATGTTATAATTGAATAAACTTTTTGAAATCACTTCAGAATAAAGATTGATCAAATATTACATCTAATCATATGAATTATTGCTTAAAAGAATATTTCCAGCATGTTCTTAAGCAAAAGGAACAAGAATAGATTAGACCTTCACAATTTTGGATCTTAAAGGTGGGTCAATGAAGATGGTTTCTAAATAAGTTTATAATTTCATTCAATTAGCATCAAATGTTGGTTAAAATAATTATCCTGAAATATTGGGAAAGTAAAATTATCTATAAATATAATAGAATGTATATTGTTAATGCCCCTATGATGTTCACGGGTATTTGGGCCATGATCAAAATATGGTTAGATGAGAAAACAAAAAATAAAATCACTATTTTGGGTTCAAGTTACAAGGATGAATTATTAAAACACATAGATATTGATAATTTACCTGATTTTTTGGGAGGAAATTCAAAATGTGAAAATACAGAGGCTCTTTCTTTAAATATTGGTCCTTGGAATCCAGATGGTACTAAGCCACTCTTTCCAGTCGAATAACCTGCTTAATAAGAGTACTCATTTTTTTCATTTAAATAGATAGGAGACTCAAGAATTAACTTAAACATAAGAAGACGAAGATTAAAAATAAAAATTAGATCAATTGAAATCAGCCTTGGCAGATATGTAATTTGCATCTCCAACTGAAAAAGCTCCTCATAATCCCAATAAGTACGAAGTCACAACTTAAAACAATCATATGGTTAGTGATACACCTCTTAATACAGAAGTGGTAAGAATATAATGTTTACATTTAGGGTGAAGAAGACAATCAATTTTCACAATAGCAATAACAATAATTATAATAGTAATTACAATAGGATTGATTTAGACATTAAAAATATATATATATATTTAAATTTTTCAGAAAACGAATTATTTCATATTATAATTATAAGAAACACTACTTCATAGTAGATAATACTAAACCTCCTATTCAGTTTATAATAAGATGAGATTCTACTTTAGATTTCATATAAATTACCTATTGTATAACCAATATTTATCATGATATTTCAGATAGGATTTATATTAAATTTAATACTATTTCTATTAAACAAAGCCTAATCAATATCTATATTACCCCTGAGTAGCCAATAAAATAATAGTGTTCAAGTAGTTATTCACTGAAAATAATTAATATTATGTAATGACTATATTTTTAATAAAAAACAGTAATTTAAAATAAAATAATTGTTTCTTAAATGAATTTACTGCATTTATAGATTATTTATACTTAAAAGAAGGCCTATTCTAAAATAAAATTCTAAATTAAGGTTTTGAGTAATGATATATTAAAACAATGAGTGGTTGAAGGGTTATTGGACTTTGTTTCTCTAAAGTATATAATGTAATTGATAAGGAGACAATAAAGGATATTAGCCCACATCTTATCCATTAATGTTCAATCAAAATTGAAAGTTTATAAGAATAGTAGCAATATATAGTAATTAATTATTATTCATATATGGCATAGTTATAGATCATTGAATGACATTAGTTTTGTATAATGGTAACTCTAGTATGATTTTATCATTGTTATGTTTGATTAACCAGTTGAAATGTTACGAGGGGATTGAAGTTGCTAATATTTTTTTACGTTGATTCATATTTGCATAAAAAGATGAAATTGATTATCATGAGGAATAATATAAATTAAATAATTTATACACGTTTAGATGTTACCCTAAAAAAAACCTTAATATGAATTGTTAGGTGTGTAGAATCCTGAAAAAGAGCAATTTATCAAATTCATTTAATTCGACCATTTAGACATCAAGGGAATAATATTCCTGATTAGTCCTTTGGGAACATGCATTTTGTTATAAGTAATAAATTGTGATATATGTTGTTAGATTTTAGGTTTTTCTTACTTGATACAATTCATTAGTACTGTATTGCATATATCAATTATCACTATTATCTTTGCGACATGTATTTTGGATTAAATACTAAGACATGATGATGTAAGATTTGATTTTAAATAAAAGGGCACTAAGGAAATGAAAAAAATAGCGATATCAATAGAGGAAGGAGCGGAAGGGTTTTTCAAGGCATAATATGGGACAATCGTAAATTTAAGTTTGATATTTGCATTGTTAATATTTCTGGTATATTGGCAGAAAGGAACAGGAGAATTAGAGAAAGACGAGATTCCTGTTGGAGGATTAGTGATTGGCCTATTGGAAGGAGGATCATTTTTGTTTGGGGCATTCTGTTCTGGATTTGCAGGATTTGCAGGAATGTGGGTTAGCATAAAGGCTAATTCTAGAGTTGCGAGTGCAGCTCGATCTTGTTATAATACAGCAATTTAATTGGCATTTAGAGGGGGTTACTTTGCTGCTGTAATCAATATAGCTTTAGCAATATTTGGGATAAGTGTTTTATTCTTGATAATATACTTTTATTGTTACTTAACAATAACTGATACATAAAAATTAAATGAATAAATAGATAAAATACCTTTATTATTGATTGGATATGGATTTGGTGCTTCATTTGTAGCAATGTTTGCTTAATTGGGAGGAGGCATCTATACAAAAGCAGCAGATGTTGGAGCTGATCTGATTGGCAAAATAGAGAATGATATTCCTGAAGATGATCCTAGAAACCCTGCTGTGATTGCTGATCTTGTTGGTGATAATGTTGGAGATTGTGCTGGTTAGAGTGCTGATCTATTTGAATCTATCACTGCTGAAATTTTGAGTGCTATGATATTGGGAGCAACATTAACTCATGAAGCTAATCTTCATATCAACTATAAAGTGACTTTTATGCTTTTTCCATTGGTGGTACATTGTTTAGATATTATATCATCAACAATTGGAATGTATTTTGTACGAACTTAACCCGGAATACCAACTAAATATATAGAGGATCCTTTATGCATTATGAAGAAGGGATATAGAATAGCAATGATAATAGGATTCTTTGGGTTCTTTTTCATTTGTCATCATTGTTTAAATCCATTATAACATAAAGATGCATGGCTCTATTTTGGTATGTGTGGACTTATTGGAATTGCTGTTTCTTATTTATTTATTGAAGTTACATAATATTACACTGATTATCATTATGAACCTGTTAAAAGAATTGCTTAAGCAAGTAAAACAGGTCATGCCACAAACATCATTGCCGGATTGAGTGTTGGAATGGAATCCACTGGTATTCCAATATTGATCATTAGTGTCGGAGTTTTGGGAGCATACTATTTAGGAGAGTAAAGTGGTATAAAGAATCATTAGGGAGAATTGATAGGAGGATTATTTGGGACTGCTATTGCAACTATGGGTATGTTTTGTACAGGAGTCTACATTTTATCAATGGCAGCATTTGGACCCATTGTTGATAATGCAGGTGGTATCGTAGAAATGAGTGGTTGTGATGAATAAGTGCGTTAGATTACTGATAGGTTGGATGCAGTAGGAAATGTTACTAAAGCAAATGCAAAGGGATACTCAGTTGGTTCAGCCTCTTTGGCTTCTTTCTTATTGTTTAGAGCATTTATTGATGAAGTCAACTTCTTATCACCTACTAAAAAAATATTGGATATCGATATCACATAACCTGAAATATTCATATCTGGTCTCATTGGGGCTTGCACAGTCTTTGTGTTTAGTAGCTGGGCTATGAGAGCAGTTGGAAATGCAGCATAAGATGTTATTAAAGAAGTACGTAGATAATTTAGAGAAAATGAAGGTATTTTATAAGGTACAGCTTAACCTAATTATAAATAATGTGTTGAAATTGTTACTAAAGCTGGATTAAGGGAAATGATCAAACCTGGATTGTTAAGTGTTTTAACTCCATTGGTTTTGGGTATCACATTAAGAGCAATCAATGTGGTGAGAATGTAAGAATTGTTGCCAGCTAAAGCCATTTGTGCCTTTTTGATGTTCTCTACTTGCACTGGAATTCTATAGGCACTATTTTTAAATAATGCTGGAGGGGCTTGGGACAATAGTAAGAAATATATAGAGACTGGAGAACTTGGAGGGAAAGGAAGCGATGCTCATAAGGCTGCTGTAACAGGAGTAATATTTAATGGTTTCTATATTGTAGGACACTGTGGGAGATCCTTGCAAGGACACAGCAGGACCATCAATTCATATATTAATTAAATTATATTCTACAATTACGATTGTAATGGTTCCATTGTTTGTGGATTGAATGTTGTGTTTTAATATTTATCGAATTAAATTTATTAATTTTTATTTATTTTATATGCTAAGTCCATCATAATATTCACAACTGTAAAGAATGTCTCCTTAAAGAGTGAACATGCCTGGAATGTCTCGAGTGGTAATCAATCTATTGAAATGAAGCCTGCCTTCGTGAAGACCAGAGAAGTTCGGATGCCTTCTCCTGCCAAACAATATTCTCCCACTAAATATGTAATCCACAATCCTCCATTGTACATGAGATCTCGAATGGCCAGTACCGAAGATATCCCATCCATGCCTTCAGAAGCTAAAAATATCAACAACGAGAGGAAGTATTCAATGCACATTGATCCAAAAACATAATAAATATCTCATCTCAATGAAATAATTCAATAGCAATAATAATAGATTTTGACATAGGAGAGCAAAGTGGCTCTACTTTAGAATGAAGTGAATGCTTGGAAGCAAAAATTCATTGAACTCAATCAGAAATACCATTAAATGTAAGAGAAGTACTATCTTGCTGATACTGAATTATAACATTATAAATAATAATGAGTGAAAATATTGATGAACATATTCTCAAAAAATATGAGGTCATCTAACGTATTGGTAAAGGAGCCTATGGAATCGTATGGAAAGCCAAAGATCTTAAAACTCTAAAAATAGTTGCACTCAAAAAAGTGTTTGATGCATTCAACAATCCCACTGATGCTCAGCGCACATATAGAGAAGTATAATTATATTCTCAATGTGTGCTAGGTTACATTCCTTAAATAGCTGAAGCACCCAAACATTGTTTCGATTATTGAAACCTACCCTGCTAATAACAAAATCGATCTCTACATTGTATTTGAATATATGGAAACAGATTTGCATATTGCCATCAGAGCTAACATACTATAAGCAGAGCATCGTCGATACATTACATATTAATTAATTAAAGCATTGAAATACATTCACTCAGCAGGAATGATACATCGGTAATTTATTCATATTTATACTAGAGATCTGAAACCTGCCAATATTTTAATTGATTCTGAATGCTAAATAAAATTGGCTGATTTTGGTCTAGCACGCATGGTTGGATCACATGATTCTGATATCTTAACTGACTATGTTGCTACAAGATGGTTCAGAGCTCCAGAAATTCTTCTTGGCTCCAAATCCTACTCTTATGGTATTGACTTATGGTCTGTTGGTTGTCTTATGGGAGAAATGATCCTAGGAAAAGCATTGTTCTCTGGAAACAGCACTATAAACCAACTTGAAAAAATTGTTGATATTCTTGGTAGTCCCAATGCCTAGGAAATAATTGCCATGGGTGGACAATCATAAATATTTCTAAATCAATTCAGACCATCCAAATAAAAACTTAATTCTTTACTGGGCTGTCCTAAAGATGAATTAGATATCATCTCCAAATTACTCCAATATGATCCTTCTAAACGATTAAGCATTGATGAATGCTTAAAACATTCTTATTTTAAAGAATATCGTAACGTTAAAGAGGAAATTTGCTATCATGGATCCATAATACTCTAATTGCAAGACGATAAACAGTATCCAATCTCTACATACAGAGATGTTTTATATAAAAAAATGGATTACTCAAGAATCATAACCTTAGTTAATAAACAAAAGAAAATAGTGGAAGAACTTGCATTGAAAAAATAATAACAAACTTTTAAGTAACTCATTGAATAAAAAAGTGCATAATCTATTAAATAATACAGAAGCACTAAATTTTTGAAAAATACTTATTCAAACTCAAATTTATTAGATAAAAGCCCATTAAATAAATCCTAATAGTAATAATAACAACAACAACAATAATAACAACAATTAAACTCTACCTCTAATATCAAAAATAAATTGAGGTCTATCTGTTAATAATCTGAAGCAAGACAGAGAAGTGCTATATCGAAATAATCTAATTCTTCGTCCAAATATAATATTCTTCATAATGTTACTAATACTTCTTTAAGTCCACACTCTGCAATTAATTCCAGGTATTTACCTAATAGGTTTCACCAAAAGCATAATGATTTTTGATATTCATTTTAACTTATACACTAATTTATATGCAAACCTTTTTAATACACATCGTCTAATTGAACCTTTTTGAATCAATAAACATAATAGACGAATTAATATTATTCATTGATCATATTTAATGATTTCTCTTAATAATCAAATATTTGATATCTCAAATCTGTTGCTTTTTAGATAATATATATTTTATAGCTCTTTAATGATGAAATAGAGATCTGTAAAATTTGAAATATTTTTAATAAAATGGTCTCTAATTCAAGATTGATTATATTTAGTTAAATAAATATGGTACTATTATTATTGAAATTGAAATTGTAAAAAAGGAAAGGTAATATATAGTTGCTAATATGCAGTCAAAACAAGTTCAATTTAATCATCAATTTTATTTCATATATTAAAATATTTATACAAATTAAGGGAGTTACTGTTTCATATTTATATAAAATTATGATTATGTTTGTTAATGACGAATCCTACAATATTTGATAAGGAATATGGATATAAATTTCAGTAATACTAATCTACAAATAAGTTGAATATTAAAATATGATATTACCATAATAGTATCAAGTAGCTCAATTTACTAACAGAAAATAAGACTAAGTCAGATTTATTTCACATAAAAATAAGAAATTTAATATAGATTACGAATATATTATTAGTTTAAAATATAATTATAAATGAATTCTAAGAATGAAGGAATCGAAATGAAACCAATCCTCTAATAAGGTTAATAACGCTAATATAATAGATCGAAAGGAAATTTCAGAATATGATATAACAAAAGCTGCCCATCCTGGCATTTGCTTTTTTCATATATTTTTTAAATTTTGTGCATTTTTTTCGTAAAAGATAGTATTATAATTACTAGATATCTATTTTTAGGGTTAATAATATCGAGCACATTATTTTAATACATCCTGATTATGATTTTTCATGCTTTTGACTTTTATACTGTTAAGAATATTACAGGGAAATTTTTGGTTGGTTTAAGATGGTATTCAGATTTTACTCCAAAAGGAGATGAAGTTTGGAGATTTGAATGTTTCGATAAATGCAAAAGAAGTAAGATAGATTCGTCAATATTTTGGACTTTTTAATTCGGAGCATCATGTGCTTGGGCATTTTTTGTCTTTACTAATGTTTTATCATTTGAATTTGTTGATGTAAAAATGTGAACTTTAATCAAAGATCATATTTGCAGGAATTGGAGCGAGTTTAAGTTGGATCAACTTATGGGGATTCTATAAATGTTCAAAAGATTAATAAAGAAAAATGAAGGGAGTTCAATCTTATTTGACTAAAAAGGGATTACAAATGGCTGTTTAGAGTTGAGTTACAATCAGTTTGAATTTCATAAATTCTGCATTAGTTAATGTTAATATTTATATCGCAGATAAAAGTGGAATTAAAAAGTAATTTAAAAAACTTCGATAATGCATATTCATTAATCTGAAGAATCAGGATCTAAGGATTTTTCTTCATCATCATTTTTTTGTTTTTTTGCTTATCTAAATTATTAAATAAGTAAGAAATACAATCTAGTTGTTACATAAGCTTCTAATTTTCTAGCAGTTTTAGTAGGGAGTACATCAATGTCAAATTCTACTTCATCATCACCATTTGCTTGAACACTCTCTTATACTATTTCCCAAACTCCTCTCAAATATTCATACTTTAATTGTTTTATGTTTTCCCCTAAGCTTAATTTCTCTTATTGAGTCATTTGCTTTTACATCTTGGATCTTAATTTAATACTATTTATTACACAATTTTTGGACTTTATTATTGTTGTTGTTATTATTATTATTGCTACGATTATTAAGATTATTATTAATTATATTAATGATGCTTTTATTTTTGCAGAATTTTTTATGGTTTATTATCTGGCTCTTTTTTATCCTTTTATTATTGAGGTTGTATTCTTTATGCCCTTCTTGGTACTACATCTTCCTGGCTTGTCTATTCCAATTTATGATTCTTGAATGTTGCATCAAACTTGGAAACTTTTTTAGACTTGATATGATATATGCAAATATTACAATCCTTTATTCCCTCTAATGAATTAGACTAGCCAAGTGTAAGGAGAAACCCTAGGGCAATTTCATTTAAATAAAATCCACTTGTTATGAATTCAAGTAGAATTCAATCTAATTATTGGAATTCATTTTGTTTCTGAAATATTTATTAATATTTTAAACTATAAAGAAATAATAGAATAGGGATTAGCTTTGGAATATATATGAATTTAAATTCAATAATCTTTCTTTGATATCCTTTAAATTATGATGACGTAAGAATAAAAAGAAAAAATAAGAGTAACCTTTTCATCATTTGAAATAGCATAATCTAAATAAAAAGTATCAATATTTTGAAGGAAAAATCAAGATTCTATCCCTTATCATCATAATTAATAGTTACTCTTGCTAATTTAAGATACAAAACGTGATTGAAAGTTAATTGTAAAATTGATAGTTATAAAGGTAAAACTAAAAATTAATTATTGGTTTCCTTTAATCTAAGCAATTTGATGAAATATACAAAAGCATTTTAATTTAATTTGAAGAATAATTTGTTAATAAGAGGTCTGAAATAGAGAAAATCCTTTTTATAACTATAATCTAATATGAGATAAAGATTTTAATATGTATAATTTTTATGGATATTTTGAGATAAAATGTAATTTTAATGTGAAAATTAATTAATATAT